CCAGCTCCACACTGTGTTATGTTATCTCTTCCAGTTGAGAAGCTTTGCCTTCGATTGTCCCATGTCCATCTTCATAATCTCTCTAAACCTAATGATGGTGCGAGTACTGTTTTCTAAAGGTTATCCCATTGAAATATATTTCATTTACTTATTTTTCCCCAGGTTTTGCATTGTGTCCTTTCACATTGACCTGTGCAAGCATAATAATCAAGAACGTTATCCTGTAGGCATTTCATGAATTCCTCCCTACTCCATGTCCTTTCCATTGTTTTATTTCCTGTCTATTTTAAGGTCATTGCCTTGAATCCAAAGATAAGTTAAATTACTTGGTACATCAGATAATTTTTGGGACCTTCCTCACCTCAGTCCCCTGTCACAGTATTTTGTGGCCTCCTCTCACTGGGAGTTATCCAAAATGCATACTTAGTGGCATAGCCACCTTCTAGCTGAAATGAAAGAAGATCCCAATGACCATATGTTAGCAGCAGAGATTCTTGATGGACTAATCTCAGAAAAGACCAGAGAACTTTTAACTCCTGTGCTACTAAAATTCAGGACCTCAGGATGTCTCAGCAATGAATGCTTGTATTTATAAAGCACTACTAACGTAATAATATGTCCCAACATGCTTTACAGGAGTGTTCTCAAACAGAATTTAACATGTGCAAAGAGTAAACTAGTGAGAGAGTTTTTTAAGGAGTGTCTTAAAAGACCAATGAAAGATGGAGGCAAAGAGATTTAGGAAGGGAATTCTACAGCTTAAGGTCTTAATTGCTGAAGGCAGGATTGCTAACAGTGGAGCAATTAAGATCAAGGAAGTATAAGAGGCTGCAGATTTCTTGAAGGATGTAGAAGGTTATAAGTGATTACATAGATTTGGATGGTGTAGTAATGAAGTAATCTTTGTAGAATACAGTCACAGAGCAAGCAAAACCACACAATGGTTCTGGACATTGGGGCCAGGAGGCTGATTGTAATAGACCTCCTGAACTAATCAGATGCTCTGGTTCTGGATGAAGAAATCAAGGCTATTCTTAATAATGAGCCAGTTGAGTCTTTATGATATTTGGCCTCATGTTTTTTCTATGACTGTTACTGAGGATCTATTCACTTCAGATCGGGTTGCTGCAGATGTTGGACACAACTTAAGCCGTACTGAATACTGGCATCAATCTGCAAGATTCTAGAACATAGATCAGTACAACACAGGAACAGGCCCTTTGGCCCACCATGTCTACACCAACTATGATGCCATTCTAAAGTATTCCCATTCGCCCACATATACGCTCTATTCACTGCCTGTTAATGTGTCTGTCTAAATCCTCTTAAATATTGCTATCATCTTTGCTTCTACCACTTCCCCAAGCAGCATGTTCCATGCATCTACCACCTCTGTGTTTAAAAAATACTTGCCTCATACGTATCCTTTAAACTTTCCACCTTTCACATTAAATATTACTTGTATTTGACATTTCCAACCTGGGAAAAGGACTCTGACTACGCACCCTATCATGCCTCTCTTAATTTTATGTACTTCTATCAGATTATCCCTCAGTCTGATACTCTTGCAAAAACAATTCAAGTTTGTCCAAACTCCTCTTATTGCTAATACACTCCAGTCCAGGGAACAACTGATAAACTTCTTTTGCACCCTCTCCAGAGCCTCCACATCCTTTTTATAATGTGGTGACCAGAACTATACACAGTACTCCAAATGTCGCCCACCTAAAGTTTTATACAGCTGCAACATGACTTGCCAACTTTTGTATCCAAAGCCCTGGCCATTGAAGGCACGCATATATGCCTTCTTTACCATTTTGTTCAATTCTGTTGCCACTTTCAGGAAGCCATGGACTTGAACCGGAACGTACCTCTATACATCAATGCTCCTAAGAGTCCTGCCATTTACAGTATCCTTTCCTATAGCATTTGACCTCTCAAAATGTATTACCTCACACTTGTCCAGACTAACTTCCATCTGCCACTTCCCTGTCTCGCTTTCCAGCTGATCTACATCCTGCTGTATCCTTTGACAATTTTCCTCACTATCCATAACTCCACCAATTTTCGAGTTGTCTGCAATTTACTAATCAGCCCACCAAATCATTTATGTATATTATAAACAGTAGAGATCCCAGCACTGGTCCTTGCGGAACATCACTGGTCACAGACATCCAGTCTGAAAAACATCCTTCCACAATTACCCTTTGTCTTCTATGACCAAGCCAATTTTGTATCCAGCTTACCAACTCACCGTGGATCCCATGTGACTTAATTTTCTGGACCAGCCAGAAAATGAGGGACCTTGTCAAGTGCTTTTGTAACGACAATGTAAACAACATCTACTGCTCTACCTTCATCAATCATCTTTGTTACTTTCTCAAAAAACTCAAGACAAGACATCCCCTGCATAAAGCTTTACTGACTATCTCAAATAAGAGCATTCGTTTCCAAATGTTGGGGGAAGGACACAAGGTATAGAAGAGAATGTGGTAGAAGGGGATTGGTCCGGTCCCAAGCAGGTGATCATGAGTTAGGGTCAGATCTGGAGTGCTGGGGGTCACCTTTGATGGTGGGGGAGGGTGTTGGCAGATTCCATGGTGGAGGGTCTCAGGGCAGGCAATGAATGGCTGGTCCTGGGATAGAGGCTGTGTCAGGTCAGAATGTGGATGGTGTAAGGGGTCTGGATGATGAGTAATTGAGGGAGTGTGTGACAGTTTAAGGGGGGTGATGTCAGTTAAACTAATTAATGATCTAACTTTTACTGAGTAGCTACTTACTTAACTGCACCCTCCAAATCCTCTGATGTAAATGGATACTCTCAGAAGGTTCCAAGGATAGTAGAATTGCTCAATGGGAGCTTCAATTTTCGGGACAATTCCTTAAGAATCTGCTATCCTGGAGATTCGGCAGGGACCTCAATCACAACTGTATCTATATTTCAGAAACTATTATCTGCCCATCAGAAAATGTGGACCATCAAAGAAACATTACAGTGAAGGAGGCCATTTGGTCTGTTGTTCAAGCACTGGCTCTTCAATAAAGGATAATTACCAAGTACCAACCTTCTACTTTATCCCCATACATTGCACACTATTTCTATCCAAATAGTCTTGAATATCTCAATAGAACAAGCTTCCACCAGTGCCATCCAGGCAGTGTGTTCCGAACCTTAACAACTCGCTGCGTAAGAGTTCTTTTTTTGCAACACATTTGCTTCTTTTCCACATCATTTTAAATCCATACCTTTTCATTCTTATTCTTTTTATGAGCAGGAAAAGCTTCTCCCTATCTACTTTATGCAGCCTGCTCATGATTTTGAAAAATGCTATCAAACCTCTTCTCAGCTTTGTTCTCTCCCAGGTGAATAGGCCTAACTTTTTCAATCTAGCCCCATAACTGAAGTTTCTCATTCCTGGAACCATGGTTGTAAATTGCTTCTCCACTGTCTCCAATGCATTCACATTTTTCCTATAATGTGGCACCAACAACTACACACAATACTCCAGCTGAGATCTCATAAGTGTCTTGTACAAGTTCAATGGCAGTAACCTGCATTTGTATCCTAGGTCTCCATTAATAAAAGCTGAAGACACTATATGTTTTGTTAACTGGTCTCTCAACCTGTTCTGCTGCCTTCGACAATCTGTGCACATGTACGCCCAGGTCCCTCTGTGGCACAGTGGCACAGGGTTAGCACTGCTGCCTCACAGCGCCAGGAACCCGGGTTCAATTCCAGCCTCAGGTGACTGTCTGTGTCCAGTTTGCACATTCTCCCCGTGTCTGCGTGGGTTTCCTCCGGGTGCTCCGATTTCTTCCTACTGTCCAAAGATGTGCAGGTTGGGTGGATTGGTCATGCTCAATTGCCCGTAGTGTTCAGGGATGTGTAGATTAGGGGGATGGGTCTGGGTGGGATGCTCTGAGGTTCAGTGTGGACTTGTTGGGCTGAAGGGCCTGTTTCCACACTGTAGGGATTCAATGATGATTTGTTCATCCTGAAAAATCACTGCTGATCTGCATTGCCTCAGAAAATAAAATTAAAATGATCATTGGGCCGTTGTTAATATTGGTGAAAATGAATCCTGCTGGCTTTGAATGGATATCTTAGCTACTTGTCCAGAAAAGTCTTTTCAGTAGGAAAAAGCAATTTTTCAGTAGCGAAGTAATTGGGGCATTTTAACTGTCCACCTACCCAGGTATCTGTGAGGTGGGTAGAGTTAAAATGTATTTTAATTTCATTATTTTTATCAAATCCTACGTGAGATGTTGGTTAGTCTGAGAGAGATTTTACCATGGCTAACTGTTGTACTTTTATCTTATCAGGGGAACGGAGAATATCATATAAGGCATTGCAGGGGGCCCTCATGATTTACTTTTACAGGTCAGTAAAACCAAACATACTACCGTAGAAGGGTTGAGTGCTTTAGTGAACTTGCATTTTGTTTCCTCACCTCTGGGACTTCTGCTCAAATCCAATTTAAACTGATTCAATAAAAGTACTGTTGTTTATTGTTGGGGCTCCAACAGCTAATGGAAAATCACAGGCTGTAAACATTTTGAGCGTGCTGGTCATCTATGGAAGGACTGGAATGTGAAAATTGTAATTAATTGAATTTGGACATCCCAAATAGACACTGACTGCTACAAACTAACCACAGTTTGCAATCTCAGTACATTAACAGCACTGGAAATATTGCAAGTTGCCATAATCTTACCCAGACTATACGGTTGCTCTCTCATTAGAGAAAGACAACTGGTGGTTGGTTTAACCTAAGGGTTACCATGCCTCAGGGGAGAGGAGAGATTGAGAATGAGATTCCTTCATGGTAACCTCAGCCAGTGTAAGAATTGAGCACACTCTGCTAGATTCATTGTACATAGTAAATCAACAGTCTAGCCAACTGAGCTAATTGACACCCCAAAATGTTCTCTCTGTGGTGTAGGTGTTAATTTTTTGGGTCCAGTGACCCTTCTTCAGAATGACTTTTTTTTATAATAAATCTCAGAAATTAATTTATTAATTTTCCATAAATCTTGGTGAAGCTCAAGATTTTTGTGCAGATTTCAAAGAGAAGTGGAGTTAGATGGTTTTCCCATTTTTTTTGTCCATGCCTGGATTCAGAAGAAAAATGCTGAGAAGTTAACTTTAAAATAGAGGTTAGACAATAGAAGATATTCAAAATATTTACATTTTTTATCTCCAGAGAAGAACCACGTTTCCAAGTGCCATTCCAGTTGTTGAATTCACTCATGGATATTGATGCCCTTATGACTAAATGGAGATGTAAGTTGTGCTTCCAACTTCAAATTAATAACAAAACTTGTGCATGTTTCATGAAAGTAAGTCAATTTAAAACATGTTCCTACTTTTTCCAAGACAACCATGTTTGTCTGGTGCAAAGGATGATCGGGAGTAAAGCTGGCACTGGTGGTTCATCCGGCTATCATTATTTACGTTCTACGATGAGGTAGGATAAAAGGAGAGCCTTTTTTTTTCAAACTTTGTAAAGGTCTTCTAATTTTTGTTGTGGAAAATTGAGCAAATATCCATGGAAATTGCTGATCGTTATCGGTACTTTAAATTTAGCCACTTTGTAGTGATTAATTAATAGGGTTCTTTTCTTCACTGCACACACACATTACACTGCTGCTTTCATGAGCTATTCAGTAATACTCCCCAGGTAAATTTTACTTTAGGTACCAGGATGGTATCTGTTTGTTTGATTTACTCATTGTGGAACCCACAATATGCTTATCTCATGTTAATTTCAGGAAAAACAGTTCATGGGTACTAAGCTCCATCAGATTGCTGTATGGGTGATGAAGGTGAAATCACCATATCATTACCCTCCTGTGCTTATTATCTTGATTAATAAACAGCATAAACATCAAGAATCCACATTTCCAACCTGTATAAATTTCTTTTTATTTGGATTGATTGTTTGAAACAACACAAGTTATGTTGTCTGAAAATTGAAACATCTATCTTTCTGTTTTCAACTTGAAATCATGAATGTACATTCTTCAAATATTAGGGGATTTTGGAGCAGAATATGCAGAGGAAGAAAGTGTGTGAATATGACAGTTGGATTTTTGATAGCTGATTAAATTAATGTGTTGGTGTTGGGAAAGTGTACAAAGGGATTGCACTATAGAAGGTCTCATACATTGCGAGTAGCTGAAGAGTGCTTTCTCTGGCGTTCAGGTCGACATTATAAATCTTCAAAGGAACATCAACTTAAACTCCATGAGAAATGGGTGCCAATAGGTTGGGAAAGGGACTCTGAGTGATGGAGAGGCATTGCCACCTAGTAAAGAGGTAACTGAAGACAAAGAAACCAAAAGAACTGTAGATGCTGGAAATCTGAAACAAAAACAGAAATGGTTAGAAAATCTCAGCAGATCAGGCAGCATCTATGGAGAGAAATCAGAGTTAACATGTTGAGTCCAGTGACTCTTCTTCAGAATTGATGGTAGCTAGGAAAAGGATGGTTTTATACAGAAGAAGGGATGGGGTGGGGAGGGGCAAGAGTAAACAATAGGTTGAGATAGTGCCCAAAGAGAGAAAAACAGTTGGACAGACAAAGAAGTGGTTAAAGTTCAGACTGTGGGAATGAATAGCCGTTAGTGGGGACTATTAGTGACCTTTGGGTAGTGTGCGGTAGCAGCCCACGTGATGCCAAGGCCTGTTGTGTGGACGTGAGGCAAAGCATGGGGAAAGGTGCTCAAACCCTAAAATTTTTGAACTTGACATTAAGAACTGAGGGCTGCAGAGTTCCCAAGCAGAAAATGAGCTGCTGTTCTTCTAGCTTGCTCTGAGCTTCGCAGGAGCTCTGAAGCAAGCCTGAGACAAATGTTGGCAAGCAACTGGAAGCTCAGGGTCTTCTTTGCGGATAGAAAGTAGGTGTTCTATGTAGCCGTCATCCAGTCTGCACTATGTTTCCCCAATGTACAGGAGGCCACATTGTAAGCAGAAATACTGTAGATTACATTGAGTAAAACACCTCAGAACACCTATGTTCTGTCCGCAAAAAAAGACTCTGAGCTTCCAGCTGCTTGCCACTTCAACACACTACTGTGTGGCCAACATCTCTGTGTCAGGCTTGTTGCAGAAGCTCAGCGCAAGCTGGAAGACAGCACCTCATTTTCCACTTGGGATCTCTGCAGCCTTCTGGACTTAATATCGAGTTTAACAATGTTAGAGTTTGAGCACCTTTCCCCTACCCCCACACGCTAGGCCTTGGCAACAAATAGACTGTTACCACACACTATTTATTGTCAGACATTAACAGTTCCCATTAACAGCTATTTACTTTTCCAGGCTAAACTTTAACCACAGATAACAAGGTGTAGAGCTGGATGAACGCAGCAGGCCAAGCAGCATCAGAGGAGCAGGAAAGCTGACGTTTCGGGTCTGGACCCTTCTTCAGAAATAGAGCAGAAATGCAGCATTTCTGAAGAAGGGTCCAGACCCGAAACGTCCGCATTCCTGTTCCTCTGATGCTGCTTGGCCTGCTGTGTTCATCCAGCTCTACACCTTGTTATCTCAGATTCTCCAGCATCGGCAGTTCCTTCTTTCTCTAAACTTTAACCATTCCTTTGCCTGGCTAACTATTTTTCACTCTCTTTAGGCTCTATTTCCATCTATCATTTACTCTTCCCTGTCCCCCATCCCATATTCTGTGTTTAAAAAAAGAAGTCCTTTTCCTGGATAACTTTTAAGCTTTTGTTTAAATTCAAAGCAGGCAAGTTCACTCTGATTCATTAAATCATTGTCACATGGAATGCACCACGGAATGTCTGTCTCCCACCCTTTCTCTTGCTGTAAAATGTGGAATATAATGCATGGACATGTTCTTTGTTTCAGTAAAGGACAAAAGGTCTGCATTTGAATATCTGTAGCTTCTGGCAGGCATATGTCTATCACACAGTGAGCCCAAGTGATCAACTTAAATTGGTTATTATTGTAATTCTAATTGGTAGCACAATCTCAGAATACAGGGTAGACCGTTTAGGAGAGGTGAGGAAACATTTCTTCAAAGTGTAGTTTATCTGTGGAATTCTCTACCACAGAGGCTATGAGGCCACATCACTGAACATATTCAAGAAAGAGATAATTAAAGTTTTACATAGAACATAGAACATTACAGCGCAGTACAGGCCCTTCGGCCCTCGATGTTGCGCCGACCTGTGAAACCGATCTGAAGCCCATCTAACCTAAACTATTCCATTATCATCCATATGTTTATCCAATGACCATTTAAATGCCCTTAAAGTGGGCGAGTCTACTATTTTTGCAGGCAGGGCATTCCACGCCCTTACTACTCTCTGAGTAAAGAACCTACCTCTGACATCTGTCCTATATCTATCAACCCTCAATTTAAAGCTATGTCCCCTCGTGCTAGCCATCACCATCCGAGGAAAAAGGCTCCCACTGTCCACCCTATCTAATCCTCTGATCATCTTGTATGTCTCTATCAAGTCACCTCTTAACCTTCTTCTCTCTAATGAAAACAGCCTCAAGACCCTCAGCCTTTCCTCATAAGACCTTCCCTCCATACCAGGCAACATCCTGGTAAATCTCCTCTGCACCCTTTCCAATGTTTCCACATCCTTCCTATAATGCGGTGACCAGAACTGTACGCAATACTCCAAGTGCGGCCGCACCAGAGTTTTGTACAGCTGCAACATGACCTCATGGCTCCGAAACTCAATCCCTCTACCAATAAAACCTAACATACTGTACGCCTTCTTAACAACGCTATCAACTTGGGTGGCAACTTTCAGTGATCTATGCACATGGACACCGAGATCTTTCTGCGCATCCACACTACCAAGAATCTTACCATTAGCCCAGTACTCTGTATTCCTGTTATTCCTTCCAAAGTGAATCACCTCACACTTTTCCGCATTAGACTCCACTTGCCACCTCTCAGCCCAGCTCTGCAGCTTATCTATGTCCCTCTGTAACCTGCAACATCCTTCCGCACTATCCACAACTCCACCAACTTTGGTGTCATCCGCAAATTTACTAACCCATCCTTCTACGCCCTCATCCAGGTCATTTATAAAAATGACAAACAGCAGTGGCCCCAAAACAGATCCTTGAGGTACACCACTAGTAACTGAGATCCTTGAGGTACACCAGTAGTAACTGAACTTTAAAGACATAGAGGACAGATAAAGGAGGAAAATGGCATTGAGATAGAGGAACAGCCATGATCATACTGAATGACAGAACAGGTTCAAAGGGCTGAATGGCTTACTCCTGCTCCTAGTTTCTGTACATCTAGTTTTAATTGATATTGCTTAGAAAGTGCTGATCAATCATGCAAGCACATCTAATGTTGGACACTATGGGGTCTTAATGGAGTCTGAGTGACATGGGGGTATGACGCGATTTGGGTTAGAATTGGATGGGAAGTCTGGTGATCCTTATTTTGATATTGGGAGCATTTTACTTCATATTTTATGCTTTTGCCATATAGTGAGGTGAGTTTCTCTTTTGGCAACAGTGAGTTGCCAATGAAGAGGGATATTAGCTTGTCAAAACTCATCTGCTCACTATTCAATTTCCTATCTTACCAAACACACCAAATAAGATAGATAATGAGAATTCTCAATGTGGAACTCAAGAGTGGGTAGCTGGTGACTTCAGCTCATCATTGGCTGCGTACAGCTGGTGTGTTTGTCACCCAGTGCCAACATTTGAGGCATGCTGCATGTGTATCAGCCACACACACACCTCACATCCACAGTCATTGCCATTCCACATGTGCCAGCCTCTAAGATTCCTCAAGGTACATGTCCAATCAAATTCCAGGACCCTTCTGTAATTCAGTGCTGAACTTCAGGCTACTCTGGTGACTTTCATTGTCATGATGTTGCAAGGACACTGTGCGCTTAGGAATATGGGACCAGTTGAATGTCTAGGATCTTCGCTTGCTGTCATACTTCTCACTCATTCTGTGCCTACCTGGATGTTCATAGCATCCTGACTTCCTTGCCTTTTGCATTTTGTCCTCTTAGCATATTATAATGCTTAAAATACTTCTGTCTCTGTCTTGCTGTTTAGCATTTAAAAAAAGGCCTGGAATCTCCTCATGGTTGTTAGCAGTCTTCAGTCAAATGAAGGAAGATAGTCTTCAGTCAGGATGTCCTGGCACAGTAAATCGAGGATAAGTCCAATACGCTTCTGATTGCCAGTCAACCACTCAGGGTGGCCAGAGTCAGAACATGCTCAATGTAAAGGGTGAGAAGCCCAATATCAAGTAGCCTATTATCTGTCTTGAATCTTTCTGACTTTTTGTGGGCTGTTTTTCTCTTGGATGGAGAGAGTGGCAAGTATTAGGGAAGATGAAAGTGTATGTCACTTTTGGTGCAGAGGAGACAGCGCAAAGTGCATGCAGAATTAGTGATGTTGGGGCTAGGGTGGGTGAGAGCAAGTTGGAAAGAATTTGCAGGCAATAGTGAGTGTAGACAGCATGAGCCTTGGTAGGAGGTGGGTACAGTAGCAGAACAGAGTGTGTGTGAGATTTTGGAGACAAGTTTGTGGAACTTATGCCGGAGAGTGGACAGCGTTCACCTTCTTTCTATGGGCATTTCTCCATATGATTCAGACTGCACTGATCTGGTTATCAACCACAACCCAGGCTGGCATAGTTTGCAGTTGTGGCCACCACTGCTGCTCCTGGGTGAAAACGATATCTCCTCTCGAGGATGCACAACTCTGTTCAAAGGACCTATAGGCCCTTTGCTGCAAAGTAGGTGCCAACTTCCCTTTCTGCTGTGTCGTGGACAAATATCAGGAACCATGCTTCACACTGACAGTGCTTCTGTAGGTGCACAACAGGCTTTTAAACATGGTTTGGGGAGTAATGAATACCATCCTTTCAGTGTATGGTCAATTTTAGCAGGAATAACACATGATGAGATGGTGATAGAACCAGATGTGAGGGACATCGATAGTTAATGAGCCACATTTAGTAAGATATGTTGAGAATTCCTCTTTAAAAAATTTGATGCAATTCGCAATTAACTAAAGGAAATCATAAAATTAAGTCCTATATTTTGAATTCTGTGAACAGTCAAAAGGACATGCTCTTTGATACAATGATCTTATCGATTCTCAGTGTAAGTGGAGGGTTGCTTTTTGAATTGGAGACGTGTGACCAGTGGTGTTCCACTGGGATCAGTTCTCGGTCCTCTTTTGTTTGTCATTTATATAAATTATTTGGATGAGAATATAGAAGGCATGGTTAGAAAGTTTGCGGACGACATCAAAATTGATGGCTTAGTAGACAGTGAAGAAGGTTTTCTAAGATTACAAAGGGATCTTAATCAAATAGGTCAATTGGCTAAAAAATGTCAGATGGAGTTCAATCTGGATAAATGCAATATATTGCATTTTGGTATAACAAACAGGGGTAGGGCTTATACAATTATTGGTAGGGCCTTAGGTGGTGTTGTAGAACAGAGGTACCTAGGAGTGCATGCACACAATTCTTTGAAGTTTGCATCACATATAGACAGAATGGTTAAAAAGGCATTTGGCACACTTGCCTTCATTGCTCAGTCCTTTGAGTATAGAAGTTGTGAAGTCATGTTCAGGTTGTACACAACGTTGGTGAGGCCTCTTCTGGCATACTGTGTCCAGTTCTGGTCGCCCAGATATAGGCAGGATATTATCAAGCTGGAGAGGGCTCAAGAGATTTACCAGGATGTTGCCAGGTATGGAAGGTTTGAGTTATAAAGCAAGGCAGGATAGCTAGGACTTTTTTCACTGGAGTGTAGGAGGTTGAGAGGTGACCTGAAAGAAGCTTATAAAATAATAAGAGATATAGATAGAGTTAATAGTAGTTACCCTTTCCCTAGGATGGGGGATTTCAAGAATAGGGGGCATATTTTTAAGGTGAGAGGAGAGACATTTAACAAGACATTAGACGCAAATCTTTTATACAGAGGGTGGTTCATGTGTGGAATGAACTTCCTGGGGAAGTGGTGGATGTGGGTACAATTACAGCATTTAAAAGACATTTGGATAAGTACATGAATAGGAAAGGATGGGAGAGATCTGGACCAGGAGCAGGGACCCGTTTAGTTTGGAATAACGTTTGGCATGGACTGGAGGGTCTGTTTCTGTGCTGTATGACTCTGTAAGTTATTGTTCCCTTTAAATTTTGGTATTCTTGCAAATCTGTCCTGATGAGTGCAAGACAAAAAAAAACTTTGACAGGGTGCCTTTTTTTAAGCAATATTCAAGTTCTATACTGTATTAGTTTTGTTGATGTAATACTTATCTTGGAAGAATTATGTTTCTGAATTCATTTTAAGGGAAAATAGTGATCGTTTAACTGAAATGCCCTAAATACGCATTAATGACAGATTTCAGCTATAACCATTACTGGTCTATTACGGCAGTTCAATTTTTTTGATAAAGTTGTCAACAGGTAACTATTTTCTTCATCAGAAAGACCTTTGGGACGCCCAAATGCGAATAAACATTTTTACACAGAACTTTCATTTTTACCACCCCTCACACCATTCCCCCAAACTTCCATTCCCAGCCACCTAAACATTTTTGGAATGAGTTCTTGCTGAGGTTTTGACAGAGTCAAATTCAGGGACAGAATTCACTTCAACAATAGATTATATAAGACTTGGAATTTCAGGATTGCCACTAAGGGAAATTCTAATCTTCTGAGGAGGTCTCTAATCTCCAAACCAAATAAACAGCACTCTCCCAGTCATTAAGTAAGTTTGGTGTTTTCCTTGAAGTGATTTCTGCCAAATAAGATCAGCATTTATCTGAAACCATGAGTTTCCAAGAAGTGAATTTTGAAAAGAAGTTCCAGTGCCTTTTCCTTGACCTTTTCAAACACACAATCCAGATATCCGCAATATTTTAAATGCGACTTCCACAACAATGATTAAATATGAAGTGTTCACAAAAAAGGGAAGCTGGAAGGAAGGAAGGCAGCCTGGCATCTGTCTGGCATAAAGTTCCTGATGTCCATTGAGGGCACTGTCCACCACCCAAGGTGATACTTCTCCTGTCTTCCTCTTTCCCTGTCCCCGAGGGGTCAAAGTCGCACTCTGGTCTAATTAAGACCATCCACAACATATAATTGCTGCAGAGCAGCTAGATTTCATATTTTGTTAAGTGCTGGCTGATTTTTAGAATGATTGGGGGTGGGTGTGGGGGATATCAGGTATGTTCCCCCCTTGTAAAATCTCTTCCATGAAATTACTATTGCTCTCCGTAAGATGTTACTTGACCTATTGAGTATTACCAGCGTTTTCTGAGTAAAACTTTTTTTTGTTCTTTTTGATTTTCTATTTCAGTGATCGATATAAAGTGTTTGTTGACCTGTTCAACCTTGCAACTTTCTTGGTCCCAAGACAATGGATTCCAAAGCTGACCTCTTCAATTCACAAATTTTTACATACTGCAGAGTGTTGTGATAGCTCATACTTCAGTGGTGAGGAATCTGATTAAAATAGAAATCAACTCAGCATATTTTGAAAGCAAACTATACACAATTTAAAAAGATTTTTAAAGCTTTTAATGATCCATGTATGTTTTTAAACTTTAATTGGACTTTAACACAAAATCATTTTCAGTGAAAGGCTTTGGGACAGATCTTGGCTTTATAATTTTGTAAAATGGGTGATAGTGGATCTGCAGCACGTTTTACACATCCCCCGATTTTCACGTTCATTTACTATCACATGAACTCAATAGTACCCCTCTTTCTCAATTCGTTTCCTGTAACATATTTTATGAATGGTGAGGTAATGTACATGTAAATCTATTTATATAAAATATTATACACAGGATATAAAACTACCTTAATTCTTCAGGAGATGCGTACTGTTAGATTTAGTTTATATTTCATTGATTTAAAAGAGCAACATTGCTTCGAAAAAAAATGGACATGGCTTTTATTGACAGTTGTAAATTTGTACATTAGTGGAATTATTCAAAAGGCTTTTCGTATGCAAATGCACTGTATTTGTGCATCCTTTCTGAAAGGTATGTTATCAATTAAGTAAATCTAAATACCTTGATTAAGGTTCAATAACCATTGGCATGCTGGACAGTGTGAAGCAACATTCATTAACTACATGTTAAACTTCATCCTCAAGCTTGTCAACATTCTGATCTGGTAGATCAGAAGATCATGTCTGCTTTTATAGTATGCAATCTTTCAACTCACTTCGTATGTTACAGTGTGGGTTATTATTGCTTTATTCATTCACACAATAGTGGATATACATGTCTGGCAAGGCCAACAATTATTGCTTTATCTCTTCAATACAACTGGGTGGCTTGCTAGGTCACTTCAGATGGCAATTTGAGAGTCAACCACATTGTCATGGATCGGTTAATCGTGGCAGATTTACTTCCTTAAATGCCACTAGTGAACCAGTTGATTTTTGTGTCAATCCAGGATCCTTGTTACTATTAATTATACTAGATTTTTTATATTGCAGATGTATTTCATTATTAAAATTAAAATTCCCAGCTGGTAGTATGACCACTTTAAACAAAAACCACCTACAGAGAAACTTTCATCAATAAAAGTGGAGTGGAAAAAACACAGCAGGTCAGACAGCATCCGAGCAGCAGGACAGTCAATGTTTTGGGCTGAAACTCTTCGTCAGGACTTGGGAGGGAGATGGGAGCCCAGAAATAAACAGACGGAGGAGGGTGGGTCTTGGGGGGAAGGTAGGTGGGATGGAGATAGGTGGATGCAGGTAAGAGGTAGATCAGTGGGAAGGGTGGAGTGGATAAGTGAATCAGAAGATGGACAGGTTGGGAGCGGAGAGATTTTGAAGCCTGTGAAGTCAATATTCAGGCCATTGGGCTGTAAACTCCCACTGTGAAACATCAGGTGTTGTTCCTCCAGTTCACGTATAGCCTTGCTCTGACAGTGGAGGAAGTCAAGGATGGACTTGTCACCAGGGGAGTGGGAGGGGGTGTTAAAGTGGATGGCAACCAGAAGGTTGGGTTGGTTGGTGTGTGCGTAGTGCAGGTGCTCTGTGAACCGGTCCCCGAGACTGTGTTTGGTCTCCCTGATATAGAGGAGATCACGTTGGGAGCAAGAGAAACTTTCACCCATTTTGTTCAGCTACATTGTTCATCACAACATTGAATTCCAAGTCCTTTGTCCTTGTCCGGGATCTTGATCAGATGGGCCAACGGGCCGAGGAGTGGCAGATGGAGTTCAATTTAAAAAAAATGTGAGGTGCTGCATTTTGGAAGGGAAAATCAGGGTAGGACTAATACACTTAATGGTACAATCCTGGAGAGTGTTGCTGAAAAAAGAGACCTTGGAGTGTAGGTTCATAGTTCCTTGAATGAGAAGTAGCAGGTAGACAGGAGAGTGAAGAAGGCGTTTGGTATGCATGCCTTTTATTGGTTAGTGCATTCAGTATAGGAGTTGAGAGGTCATGTTATGGCTGTACAGGACATTGATTAGGCCACTTTTGGAATACTGGTGCAATTCTGGTCTCCCTGGTAGAGGAAGGATGTTGTGAAACCTGAAAGGGTTCACAAAGGATTTACAAGGATGTTGCCAGGGTTCGAGCTATAGGGAGAGGCTGAATAGGCTGGGGATATTTTCTGGGAAGCGTTGAATCTGAGGGGTGACCTGATAGAGATTTATAAAATCATGAGGGGCATGGATAGGGTAAATAGACAAGTTCCTTTCCCTGGGGCGGGAGAGTCCAAAACTAGGGGGCGTAGGTTCAAGGAGAGAAGGGAAAGATTTAAAAGGGACCTAAGGGGCAACTTTTTTTTATACAGAGGGTGGGATGGAATAAACTGCCACAGGAAGTGGTGGAGGCTGGTACAATTAGAACATTTAAAAGGCATCTGGATGGATGTATGAATTGGAAGGGTTTAGACGGATATGGGCCAAATGCTGGTATATGGGACTGGATTAGTTTAGGATATCTGGTTGGCATGGATGAGTTGGACTGAAGGGTCTGTTTCCATGCTGTGCATCTCCAAGACCAGAGGGCACAAGTTTAAGGTGAAGAGTAAGTGATTCAGAGGATATCTGAGGGGAAAAAAATAATTTACGTAGATGGTGGTAGAGATATGCAAGATGCTGCCTGATGGCAACTTGTAAGAAGCATCTGGATGAGCACTTAAAATGGCAGGGCAGGGCACAGTAGGCTATGGATCAACAGCAAGTAAATAGGATTAGTGTAGTGTCATGTTTGTTGGTTTGCATAGACGTGGTGGGCTGAAGGGCCTGTTTCTATCCTATATGACTCTAAGACTGCACTGGCAGACCCAATGTTTCAGTCTGCTCCTGCCTGCTTATTGAGTTTATTCTATCTTAACTTGTAATTCTTACGATGCTTGATGTTGGTTTCACAATTTCCAGTTTTCTGGCCCTAGCTGCATCCTCTCCATCAGGAATGTGCAACCCTTCTGCATGTCCATCCCACATCAGGATGGTCTTAAGGCTCTTCACCTCTTTCTTGACAAGAGGTCTGAACACCCCCCACTCGTCACCACCCTCCATCACCCGGTAGACTTTGTTCTCACTTTGAACGACTTTTCCTTTACTTCATCTCATTTTCTCCACGTCAAAGGCATGGCCAGGGGTACTTGCTTGGTCGTAGCCAGGCCCCTCTCTTTTGTGGTATTTAGAACATTGCTTATTCCAGTCCTACTTGGGGTTCCCTGCACAACACTTTCTTCGATACATCAGTGCTGTTTTCTGGTATCATGTGGAATTGGAAAAGTTAATCAATTTTGCTTCTAATTAGGCATTTTACAGCCTCTAGGATTGAATACTCAATATTGAAATACTTAATATTTCACATTCAAAATCATAGAATCCCTACAGTGTGGAAACAGGCCCTTCGGCCCAACAAGTCCACACTGACTCTCAGAGCATCCCACCCAGACCCATTCCCCCTAACCTACACATGCCTGAACAATGTAGCATAGCCAATTCACCTAACCTGCACATCTTTGAATTGTGGGAGAAAACCGGAGCACCCAGAGGAAACCCACGCAGACATGGGGAGAATGTGCAAACTCCACACAGACAGTCACCCGAGGGTGGAATTGAACCCGCGTCCCTGGCTCTGTGAGGCAGAGTGCTAACCACTGAGCCACCATGCCGCCCTTTTACAGCCAATGTCAAGTTTGCTTCCCTCGCTACAGATGCCACCAAACTTGCTGAATTTCTCCAGCATTTTCTGTTTTTAGTTTGAAATATATTGTACTTTATTTTGATAGTTTTTTTTTACGATCATCACAGCAAACAGTGTTTCTCTGTCAAAAAAATACTTTTGAACAAGTTTTGTGACTGATTTGTGCTAAACAAATCGCAGTCTTATAGGTATCACATTCCTTAAATCCATTGGGCAGAATTATATACCCCCCTTGCTGGATTGTCTTAACACTGGGCTCCTGATCAAATTGAGGCCCTTAAGTGGCAAATTAATGACAACTTAACATTTCCCACTCAGCCTCAAATTTCAGTCTGCAAGGAGAGGTTCAGAATTGGGTAGAAGGGAGACATGGATAGTGACCCTGTTCAGACTGTGAGCAGAAAGAGTTGAAAACATCCATTACAACCTCTTTCCAACATTGATATCACCACCCTCTCCCAATTTCTAACCGCTGTGGGTATTCTCGTATGCCCAGCCTCTCTACTAACATCTCCATATCTCTGCCTCACTTCCCCTTCCTTGCCCTAAGAACCTCACCCCTACCAACTCTTGGGCTGCGGAGACATACACACTGGGCACCATCTGCAGCCCCAGTCTAGCACACTTCATGTTTTGGTGTGATTATAGAGCCAGTGGCCAAGGCAGGATTTCCTCCCAAGAGAAGAATAGCAATGCTCATTGCTGACTGTCCCACTGACATTCAACGCTCTATAGGTGGGAACACATTTGTCATTGCTACAGTTTCAATAAACCAGAAGTTATATGGTAATTCTAAAAGGCTTGTAGAGAAGGCTTTGGCAAAACCAAAACTACTTCAGCAAATACAAAGGAATTTAGTACAATTGTCTTCACTACTCAGAAGTGGTACTTTCTTCATTGATGTTCAGCCCATCCTTCATATGTTGTCTTAACCATGACCTATTTTCCTAATTACTCATATTTAGGAAGCTTGTCAGTACTTGGTTTTAGGTTTGTTACTGCAGCACCAGAGAGATGGTTAAGCACTGAACAGAGCCACAGTGATCAACAGAGCTTACAGGTTTTAAGTAACAGGTGCACAGGATTGGGAGTGACATTATTAGGCCCTATTTCTTCATCTCAAGACCTTGGAGCCTTTGACACTGCTACCTCAGGCCTTCTCCCACCTTGTGCATGGCAGTCCTGGGAAGCAGCACTAACCGGAATGGAAAAAAGGAAAATGACAAGATGACAGTAGGTAGGGAAGAAAATAGAAGTTCATTTAGTTACTATAGCACTTAGGGAATGTTCTTGCCATTTTTTGTTTTGCATTCTTGTGGAATAAATGCATATTAGCATACAAGGCTCTGAACCAAGAGCTGGAAAATGGGATTAGAATAGTTAGGTGGTGTTTTTGACCGGCACGGACACAGTGGGTCAAAGGGCCTTTCTCTGCACTGATTTTTATGACTCAGGTGAGTGTATGGAACAAGCTGCCAGAGGAGGTAGTGGAGGCAGATACAATTACCAATTTTAAAAGGCATCTGGATGGATACATGAATAGGAAGAGTTTAGAGGGGTATGGGCCAAAGGCGGTAAAATGGGACTAGATCAGTTTAGGGTATCCACTCGGCGCGAATGAGTTGGACTGAAAGGTCTGTTTCCGAGCTGTATAACTATGAATCTATTTGTAACAAGATTAAAAAAAAACAGTTAAATAAGCAGCAGTACTCGCATCCTTATCAAAACTAATCATAAAAATAGACCCAGAAGTCAATTTGGACATCTTCAAAAAGAGAACTATACGTTTTCTATCTTTCAGGTGATCAAAGTTAAATTTAATTTTGACCAATTTTATGAGCAGTGTACACAAATTAAAAAGTACGTGCATAAGGTAATGAACTCAAAAAACATTGAGTGTATTGTGGTATCATAGTTTGTAAGGAATGAAGATTGGGAACAATCATTTGGTTAATTACCATCACTTTTAGTGCATTGAACTATGTTGCCAGGCAAGGTTGTCATTTTGTCCCTTTTGTACTGCATTCAACAAAATGGGAAGGTCAACAATTGTACTCACAAGCTGCTCATTCGAAACTTCCATGGAAATATTGTCATCTGAAAACAGTTTTAAAATTTAGAAAGACTACATTAGTGTAAATATACATATATTCCTTGCTACAATAAAATATTCATTAAAATATTAAAAATTATCATAAACTTTGGTAATGCAATCACATGAATTAGTAAACAGCAACACAAAAGAGCTCCAAATTTCTGTGTAAAACAAATTAAGCAACTTTAGGATTCTCTGATAATAAATATCATGAATACTGACAAGAGATGCTAATACCTAACTTAATACTAAGGCATTTTGGTGTAAACATTTTAAGACTGCTCTGCGGTGAGGTAGTTTGCCAGTGTCAGTGCATTTCAGAAAATGGTGGAATAGCATTGACAACTTTCTTTATGCCAGCTTGAGCTGTATAAGGTTCAACACTGTCAGCAGAGGGTCCAGAAGATGTAGGATGAAACATTCTTGTCTGTGCTAACTTGTCCACAGCAGTTATTAAGAAATCAGGTAGGTCCAAGCATGATTCTATGAGGTGATTCACCAAAATTTCTTCCATTGATTTAAATGAAGGAATATCAGTTGGGTTCCGGCATAGGTTACACAATGGGGGATGTGGAGGAATTGGGCTATCTTCATCTTAAATTCAGTTCGCGGTAAAAGGCTGTCCTGTAGGCAGACCAAGATCCAGGGAACATCTATTTCTTCTCATACAAATGCTACAGCAACTGAATCAGCAATGCCTGGGTGATTTAAAAAAAGTGCAACATTAAGAAATGTTTATTGGGAAACTGCATCTCATGTATAAATAGTTAATATTTCAGTTCAGTTTTTTAAAATACCTTTGTTCTTCTCGCTCCTCTCAACTGAAAACTATAGTAGTGACCTGTTCAAGTGATTTATTAACAGGTCAAAAGCAAAATACTGTAGTTGTTGTAAATCTGAAATAAAGCAGAAAAGTTTCGAAATTTTTTGCTGCTCAGATAGCATGTATGGCAAGAGAAAAAGCATTAATGTTCTTATTAATTCTTTAGATTATCAATCTGAAACATTAACTCTGTTTCTAATGCCACAGATGTTACCTGATATCCCTCTGGTCAGCTGTTTTCAGGTAGCTGGAATTGACATTCTTTCTGCTTCTGCTTGTTGACGTTTAATGCAAAGAATAAACTCTATTGATAGTAAAAAATGTCCTGGCTCAAAGATATGGCAACTGGATTTTTTGGACATGGACAACTCTAGACTATCAAGCTTGATATCACAAATTTTCCTACACCAACCATATACACTGCAGCTAAAGGAGATGCATGGGTATAGATTTCAACAGAAACACTGGCAATCTTGAGATGAAGAAATGGCAATTCTACTTCTCAATAGCCTCACTATCTATCTGAAGACAGTTCCAACATGATTTAGAGAACAATCTTAGCACCATGAACCTATCTTAGGAGCAGTGGGTAGGGAAGCACTGACTAATTCAACACTGTTCTCTTACTTTGGGACACAGTTTCATTTCACTTGGCTTAGTTGAATTTAAACAATGTCCCTGAAGACTGTAAAGATCCTAAGTGAAATAAATATTGATGGCTTCAATCACTTCTGTAGAATGAACTGCAGGAAAAAAGTCCTTAATTTGGCGCTACCACGGGTTCTCCTGTAATACGATAGTTGCGTTCCAGCTCAATATCATGTTATCTATATAAATAACTGGGCCTACGGGAAAAGGGAGGTTAGTGGAAGACAACCAAATAGCGTAACACAAAGGATTGCACTATCAGCAGCTGTTCAGACAGATTAGTCCAACTGTGACAGCAGCTTCACAGTTTCTTCTTGGATTGACACAACTGGCATCACTAATTCCAAAAAGTGTAGGACAGTTATCCAGGTGTCCTGGTCAATACTTATCCCTTAGTCAGCAACACAATGACAGATTATAGTCATTATAACATTGTTGCTCGTGGGAGAGTGTTGTTTAAAAATTAGCTGCTGTATTTTCTATAATGAATGCACTTCAAAACTACTTCAGTGGCTGTCAAGCTCTTTCTAACAACCTGAGGTTGTGAAAGATGTAAGCCTTTGTAAGCAAGATCTAGGTTCAAGTCCTGCCTCAGAACTCCAATGGCAAGAAAAGGTGTGTTCAAAATATTACTAAAAAGATTGAGTATCAATTGGCAAATTCTTCCAACACTGCCAGGAGCAGACTGTTAGATTGGGAGAGATTCCTGATCAGCTGTGTGACTAAAAGAATATTGGAGACTTTACGTCTACTATCCATAGTTCCGGACTGCGTTGTATGTTGCCATAGCAACGTAGCAACTCCTTCAGCGATCTTTTCACCACACCACAAGGGTATTGAAGGATATGGAGCAAAGGTGGGAGAATCAAGTTTAAACATAAGTCAATGATGAACTGACTAATTACTTAAACAGGCTCCTGGAGCCTCCTGTTGTCGAGTCAGAGTAATACAGCATGAAAACAGGTCCTTCAGCCCAAACTGGTCCATGCTGACCACTGTGCCCACTCAGCTAGTTCCAATTGGCTGTATTTGGTCTATATCCCTCTAAACCCTTCTCAGCCATGTACCTATCTAATTTTTTTTTTTAATGTTGCTGTTGTACCTGCCTCAACCAATTTCTCCAGCAGCCCATTCCATATACGCACCACTCTCTGCGTGAAGAAGTTGTCCTGCAGGTCCTTCTTAAATCTATCCCTCTCACCTTAAACCTATGCCCTCTAGTTTTCAATTCCCCATCCCTAGGAAAAAGACTATATGCTTTCATCCTATCTATGCCCCTCATGATTTTATACACCTCAATAAGGTAAACCCTCAATATCCGACATTCCAAGGAATAAAGTCTTATCCTGGCCAACCCCTCCCTATAGCTCAGGCCTACTGGTCCTGGCAACATCCACATAAATTGGCGGCACGGTGGTTCAATGGTTAGCACTGCTGCCTCACAGTGCCAGGGACCCGGGTTCGATTCCACCCTCGGGCAACTGTCTGTGTGGAGTTTGCACATTCTCCCCGTGTCTGCATGGATTTCCTTTGTGTGCTCCGGTTTCCTTCCATAGTCCAAAGATGTGCAGACTAGGTGGATTGGCCATGCCAAATTGCCCGTAGTGTTCAGGGATGTGTAGATTAGGTGGGTTATAGGGGGATGGGTCTGGGTGGGATGCTCTGAGGGTCGGTGTGGACTTGTTAGGCCAAAGGGCCTGTTTCCACACTGTAGGGATTCGATGATTCTATGAAGTCTTCTTTGCACATTTTCCAGTTTAACTAAGTCTTTCCTATTAAAGGGTGACCAAAACTGTACACAATTCCCCAATGGCCGCCTCACCAACGACTTATGCAACGGTAACATAACATCCCAACTTCTACACTCAATGCCTTGACTGATGAAGGCCAGCACGCTAAATGCTTTCTTCACCACCTTGTCCATCTGTGACACTGCTTTCAACGAACTATGTACTTGTACTTCTAGGTCCCTCTGTCCCACAACACTCCTCAGGACCTTACCGTTTACTGTATAAATCCTACCTTGCTTTGACATACCAAAATGCAACACCTCACACTTATCTGTATTGAATTGCATTTGCCAATCCTCAACCCAACTCCCCCATCTGATCAAGATCCCTCTGTAATTTTTGATAACCTTCTTCGCTATCAATGATACCTCCGAATTTTGTAACATTCACAAACTTACTAATCGTGCCTAATACATTCACATCCAGATCATTTATGTAAATAACAAATAACAAAGGTCCCAGCACCGATCCTCGTGGCACACCACTAGTCACAGGCCTCCAGTCCGAGAAACAATCTTCAACCATCACTCTTTGCTTCCTACCATCGAGCCAATTTTGAATCCAATTAGCTAACTTTCCCTAGATCCCATGCGACCTAACTTTCATGACTAGCCTGCTGTGCGTGACCTTGTCAAAGGCCTTACTAAAGTCCATACAAATAACATCCCCACTGCCCTCCCTCATCCATGCTCTTGGTTACCTCTTTGAAAAACACTCAAAGATTTGTCAGACATGATTTCTCGCGCACAAATCCATGTTGACTATCCCTAATCTGACCTTGACTATCCAAATGTTGGTTGATCTTGTCCCTCAGTATCTTCTTCAATAACTTGCCTACCACTGATGTCAGGCTTAATGGCCTGTGGTTCCCTGGCTTGTCCTTGCTATGTTTCTTAAACGATGGAACGACATTAGACCTCTCCCGTCTTCTGGAACTTCACCAGTGGCTAAAGATGAAGCAAAAATCTCTGCAAGGGCCTCTGCAATTTCTTCCCTAACCTCCCACAACATCCAAGGATGAACTTGATCAGGCCCAGGGGATTTATCCACCTTAATCCGCTTTAAGGCTGCAAACACCTCCTCTCTGGTATGCAGTCCAAAACATCTCCACTTGTTTCCCTTATTTCCTTAGCATCCATGATTTTCTCCTCAGTAAACACTGAGGAGCAATGTTCATTAAAAATCTCCCCCATCTCTTGTGGCTCCACTCATAGATGGCCATGCTGATCTTTAAGGGACCAATTCTCTACCTAGCTACCCTCTTACTTTTAATACAGATATAAAACCTCTTGAAATTATCTTTAACCTTATCTGCCAAATCAATCTCATACCTTCTCTTCGCTCTTCTGATTTCCCTTTTGAATGTGCTCCTACACTTTTTATATTCATCTATGGATTCGCTTGAGCCCAATAGCTTAAATCCAATGTATGCCTTCTTTTTCCTGACTAGAGCCTCACTGTCTCTTGTCAGCCAGGGATCCCTAAACCCTGCCAGCTTTTCCCTTCACCCTAACAGGGACACACTGTCCCTGGACTCTTGATATCATACTTTTAAAAGCCTCCCACATTTGCCAGTCGTTCCTTTTCCTTCAAAATGACTCAGCCAATCGTCCTCTGCTAGATCCTGCCTAATGGCCCCAAAATTGGCCCTGCTCCAGTTCAGCACCTCAACCTGTCGACCTGTCTTATCTTTTTCCACAACTATGTTAAAACTAAGAGAGTTATGGTCACTTTATCCAAAGTGCTCTCCGACTGACACTTCAGTGAGTTGTCCAACCTTGTTTCCTAAGAGGAGGTCCAGTCTTGCACCCTCCTGAGTAGGGCCCACTACATATTGATTTAGGAAACTTTTTTGGACACATTTGACAAATTCCACCCTGTCAAGGCCTTTTACACTCTGGGTGGCCCAGTCAACACAGGGAAAATTAAAATCTCCAACCAATACTATCCTATTATTCCTACAGGTATCTGCAATCTCTCTACACATCTGCTCCTCTAGTACCTGCTGGCTATTTGGAGGTCTTTAATACAGTCCCAAGACAGTGACCATCTCCCCCTTGTTTCTAAGTTCTAATCATATAGCCTCATTTGATGACCCCTTGAGAATATCCTCTCTAAACACTGATGTTATGTCCTCCCTTATCAAAAAGGCAACTCCCCCTCCTCGCTTACTTGTACTTCTTTATCACACCTGTAGCTTCTGTCTCTTGGAACATAGAGCTGCCATTCCTGCCTTTCCCTCAGCCATGTTTCTGTTATGGCTATAATATGCAATTCCCCAGAGCCAATCCATGCACTGAGGTCATCTGCCGTATGAGTCAGGCCTCGTGCATTGAAATAAATGTACTTTAAACCAGAAGTCTTTTCCCTCGCTTTACTGTGCCCCTGACTATCCTGAATAGTAAACTTGCTCTTGATGGCTAATGTATTTTCCCTGACTTCTCGATGGCCCTTCTCTTCTTCAGAGTGCCAAACACACCCCCCCACCAAACTAGTTTAAACCCTCCCAGGTAACACTAGCAATTTCCCTGCGAGGATATTGGATCCCCTCCAATTCAAGTGCAACCTGTCCCTCTTGTACAGGTCACCTCTACCCCAGAAGAGATCCTAATGATACAAGAGCTGAAAACTCTGTCCCCTACACCAGCTCCTCAGCCACACATTCATCTGGCCTATTTTTCTATTTCTATCCTCAATGGCACATGGCATTGGGAGTAATCCAGAGATCACTGACCTTGAGGTCCTGCTTTTAAAACTTTTTACCTAACTCCCTATAATTATTTCATACGACCCCATCCCTGTGGTACTCAGGTCCTGTGCCTCACAGAGTTTTGTTTCAAGGTATGTCAGATATACTATTTTTCACTCTTGCCTACATCCAACTTTTCCTGATAACAGACCTGCTGGCTTAATTACATTTCAGTTTTAATGAAGGCTGACAGGGAGAATTTCTCTGGAATTGACTGTAGGTATCATTAGCATAAGGCTCCTGACAGCAAGATGTCTACTGGATGGAATCATGTTATAGCCAACACAAGTTCACGTTTTAGAAATAGCGTTCCCCTATTCGTCAATCAACTTATAGCCAAATCGTGTTGCCGGAACACACGTTGTACAGAACCCCATGTAATTGGTAAATTCAGACGTTTCAGAAACATTTGGTGTGCAAAATGGGAACAACTTTACTAACAGCAAGAACCATTATGGCTGGTAATTTAGTGCATTTTGGAGATTAGTGCAGCTGTCAATTACAGTACAAAAAACCTGCACTGCTAAAATACACAGATTGATAGGCCATCTGATTACCATCTATTCCTGTAGTTTCAGTACACTTTGTTATTTATAGTTCCGAGATTTGTTATTGCAACAGTATGAATGCTTAGTTGAGTTTTAGGTGCACAAAAAGCACTTAGCAGGAGGCAGGGGTGGGACTGTGTTCACAATTTGATTGAAAGTTTGAAGAGGCTATTAAAGGATTATATGTCTTTGATGTGGTTTCTGAAAAGAAGTTAGTTTGCCTTTATAATAGATTATCCAATTGAGAGGATTTAAAATTGTTGAATAGGTTTAAGAATGAGAATTATTTCAGTTTACAACATATATATAAGCCAGAACTCTCTTTATTGGTTAAAAGTTTATTTAATTTTCTTCTTGCCATGACTCCTGGGGCCTGCCTGTTGTAGGTACTGGGTGAGTAGGTTTGAAGGTGGTATGTGGGGGGGAGGTATAAGAAAGCATGCAGGTGCTAGGGGAAGCAGGTGCAAAAATAACAAGTGAGAGTCTAAGAACCTTTTATAAAACCGGGCTGAAGACTCAAAAGGACCAAGTTGGGCTTCTCACCAAACCTCTTCAATGCTCACCTGCTACATTAACTGCACCAGAAATGGCTGGCTTGATTCAATCATGTCTCGTTCACTCCCAGAGCAAACACTGCAATGAGACAGGGCGCTTGATATCAAGGTAGAGCTGCTGAGTTGGGAAATTTCCTCCCTCATGTTATTTGCAGTCCTAATGATTGCCTCTGTTACCATGACAACCAAGGAAAGTCCATCCCTCTCTTTCCAGCTGTCAGAATCTCAATAGGGGCTTCATTCATTATAAATGTCACCTACTTCCAATAAACCTTTATGGGTTTTCTTTCCCATTGGACCAAATAGCTGGAATGTCTGTTAGTAGTTCAATAGTACCAAATGAAGTGATTAATTTGTGAGCTTGGTGACTTGAAGTACCAGCCTCACAAAGAAAGAAGTAAATCAGTTCTTGGCTCTTTCCAGTATTACATCTGGTTAACACTATCATGGTACCTAATTTCTCTCTGAAATGAAATAGGAAACCAGACTTCATAGGAATGCAATTTCACCATGAATCATGATGCAAAAGTAAACAAGATTTTAGCAACATGATACTGCAGGGTGTAAGCTGGACTCTGATACAGTTTTGAAACTGAACTGAATAAAAATGAACACCCATCTCCAAAATATGAAGATATTGATTTCCAACAAACTTTGTCCTGATTGCATAAATTCAAAGTGTATTCCCTAAATGAATGAAATTTTATTTTAAAATGAACTGTAGATTCCACAGAAAACTCACCACAAATATTTCTTCCCATTTTGATGTATACATAGCCATCAATTCCCCATTTGGTTCCCCATGAATTCCGTACAATCCAGTAAGGAATATCACCTGTTTTCAATAGAGAAGTGCCGTAAGTTACTGTTATTTCATACTTGGTCACTACTTTATGGCAAGCCCAATATCAGAAAGCACTTGTATCTACCACTGCAGGACTATCAGAGTAGAAAATAGGAGATCATTTTGATACAAGCATAGCACTTATATCTAACTTCATTTAGTAGATCTTCAGGAGAGACAACTGAGTTTTCCATGCTGAGTCAACTCTCCAAATCCAACTCAGAACAAATTTCGTTAAAGAAAAAAAAACTGCAGATGCTAGAGTCCAAGGTAGACAAGCAGGAGGCTAGAAGAACACAGCAGGTCAGGCAGTATCTGGAGGAAAGGAGCAGTCAATATTTTGGATATTACCCTTCTCCAGGATTGGATTTGGGGCAAGGGAGAGCTGCAGATAAAGTTGGAGGGGGAGGGGTGGAGGCGGAATGGTGGTGATAGGTGGACTCTGGTGGTAGGTATGACCTGGTTGGTCGATGGGATGGATGAATAGATTGGTGCTGGAAGGGAGGGTCAGAGGTGGAATGGAAGGGAGGAGGTGGGGAGGCGAGGGATGAGTGGGAAGGTTATTTGAAATTGGAGAACTCAATGTTGAGTCCAGGCTGTAGTGCGCCTAGGCAAAAGATAAGGTATTGTTCTTCAAATTTGCATTCTGAGTCACTGCGACACTGGAGGAGGCCAAGGACAGACATGTCGGAGGGGGAGTGGGGTGGGGAGTTGAAATAGGTGGTGACTGGGAGGTTAGTCTGGCCGTTATGGGCCAGGCAGAGATGCTCAGCAAAACAGTCACCTAGTTTACGTTTGATCTCACCGACGTAGAGAAGACCACATCGGGAGCACCGGATGCAATAGACTAGGTGGAGGAGATGTAGGTGAAGCTCTGTCTCACTTTAAGATCCTCAATGGAGGTGAGGGAGTTGGTGTGTGGGCAGGTGTTGCACCTTTTACAGTTACAGGGGAAGGTACTGGGTGAGTTGGAGTTGTTGGTGGGGAGTGTAGCTTGAACTAATGAGTGGTGAAGGGAATGGTCCTTGTGGAAGGCAGAGAAGGGTGGGGAGTGGAAGATGTTCCGGGTGGTGGAGTCTAATTGGAGTTGGCCGAAGTGTTTGAGGATGATACATTGGATGCAGAGGCTGGTGGGGTAGAAATGAGGACAAGGGACACCCTATCTTTATTATGTTTGGGGAGAGGGGGGAAATGGTGGTGGTTAAGAGGTGTGGAGCGGGGAATGGAGGAGGCACAGTGGAGAGCTGTGTCCACAAACTTTCCTGAACAGCTGGACTTTTGTTGTGGCCTGGGGTTGTGAATATAATTCAACATAAATAAACTGCAATAGTCAGGAATTTATTCACCTTTGTTAGTGACCATGGCGCCTTGAAGCAGGTGGGAGGTGGAGTGGGTGAACAATGTGGTCATCGCAGACAATAATTAGAGGAGATGAATAGCACCATCTGTAAGTAGGATTGAGTTTATTGCCTTCCTGCTAACAGGGCAGGGAGCAACTCAAATAGTACACTGGAGAGGAGGTACGCTGGGGAGGGGGGGTGGTGGTGGAAAACCGGTTACATTGAGGTGCACACATAGTGAATTGTTGAAAAGAAGTTCTGTCTGTAGAGTACCAGGGACAAGAAAAGGACTATGAATAGGACTTCAAAGTTTTAATCATTAGATTATCAGATAAGCAGAATATGGAAATGAGCAAGCAGCTGAAAGTGGGATGAGAAAGAGAAATACCGGCACCAGTGGTAGGAGAGAAAGGAAATTTACTATTGGCATGTGCTCCACTGAAGCAATTTAAAATCAATGACACAACAGAATACAGTGGCAACATAGACTGCAAATTATTAGGTAGTAGTAGTAGTATAAATAAAGGGAAGAGAGCAGGATAAAAGTTAGAATTTGTACTTTAGGCAACACAGGTAAAGGGAAAACCGGATGACGCAAATCAATTAAAGCGAGTAGAGATGGGTATGAAATTTGTGAGAAAAATATTATACTCGACAAGCAGATTAGGATGTGTGACTCAAATAAACATTATTTATCCAAATTCTTGAAATACACAGACCAAACTGAATAATTCCCAGGTCCAAATTCAACTTGTCAGACCTGATACGGTAGCCATCACCAAGTCATGGTTGCTTGATAGTAAGAATCAGAAATTAAATATACCAGGTTTATAATATCTACTGGAAAGACAGATGAAATGGTAGGGGGAAAACATAGTTGCCTCAGCAATAAGGATAAAATCAAATCAATGATAAGAAATGGTGCCTTCATGATTTAACATTATATTAGAATTTTAGCTGAGAAGTGCAGATGGTTTAAAATCAGAGATTAGACAAGGATTTACGAAAGACACAGCAGTTTTAAAGGAGGATTTTAACATTCTTGCATATCAGGTTAAGGGGACTAGAATATATCAGAAAGACTGATTTTCTTGAATGTGTCCAGGATGGTTTTCTGCAACATTATACCCTGCAGCCAACAAACAGCATGTTGTAATACATTTAGTAATGAATAACGAGTGAGATGTAATTAACAACCACACTGTACACTTTTATTTAACCAAAATTGATCATGATATGATCGAGCTCAATGCAATGTTGAAAGGGGAAACATCTTCTAAGGGCAGAATTTTACCTGCAGCTTTGGGGACATGTGAAGTGTTAAATCTCCTGAAAGTGATATCCAGTCAAGATCCTGCTATAATCCTATTCACTTCTATGTTTCACCTGGATGGTTCAAGAAGGCTGCCAACAAATCAACTTTGAGGGCAATTAGAAATGGGCAGTAAATGCTAGCATAACCTGAATGCTCATATCCATGAAAGAATATGATTTAAAAACGCCTGCACCAGTGCATTTGAAGATATTTGCAAGTCAACAAATGTACATTAGATGTCATTCACCATACTCCTGTACTGCAGTGAGACCAAAATTGTGGATCAGTGACACACAGAAGAACACAAGAGAAGTTCCATCAGCAACACCTCTGCTTCATCTTCCAGATTTGATGGAGAGACCAATAAGCAAACGCACGCATACTTCTTAAAACTGACTCAACTGGCATTCAGGCAAAACTCCTACAAAATCATGTAGTAGCGTTTAGAAGAATGAGTGGACATCTAATTTAGGTATACAAGATGCTAAAGGGAATTGACAAAATTGACGTAGAGTGGATGTTTCCCCTTGAGGGGCGATCTCACATGCAAGTTCATTGTTTAAGGCTAAGGAATGGCAGATTTAAAAGACAGATGACAAGGAATTGCTTCTCTCAAAAGGTTGTTAATATGTGGAATTCATTACTCCAGAGTACAGTGGATGTCAGGACACTGAATAAATTTGATACATAGATTTTTAATTAGTAAAAGCTTATGGGAGCAGGCAGGCAGTACAGTTGAGGCCAGGATGATATCAGGTAGAGTGGGTTTGAGGGGTTGGATTGGTTATTCCTTCTCCTAGTCCTTATGTTCTTACAATGGACTGAACACTATTTCTGAATGACTGAAGTCATAGAACATATGAGATTATGGGTACAGCACAAGAACAGGCCCTTTCGCCCACAATGTTGAGCTGAACATGAAGCCAAATTAAACTAATCCCTCCTACTTACCCTTGGTCAATTCCTTGCATATTCATGAGATTATGTAAAAGTCTTTTAAACATCCCTATTGTATCTGCATTCACCATCACTCTTGGCAGCACTCCTACCACTCTCTGTGTAAAAAAACTTACCCCTCACATCTCCTTTGAACTCCCCCCCAACCTTAAGTGCGTGCTCCCTAGTTTGAGACAGTTCAACTCTGGGAAGAAGATTCTGATCATCAACCCTATTTATGCCTCTCATAATTTTATAGACTTCTCTCACCTCAGCCTCCACTGCTCCAGAGATTAAAAAAAAGAGTTTTTCTATCCTCTCCTTATAGCTCCTACCCTCTAATCCAGACTCCATCCTGGTAAAAGAGATAACAAGGTGTAGAGCTGGATGAACGCAGCACGCCAAGCAGCATCAGAGGAGCAAGAAGGCTGACGTTTCCCTTCTTCAGATTTCTGAAGAAGGGTCTAGGCCTGAAACGTCAGCTTTCCTGCTCGGCCTGCTGTGTTCATCCAGCTCTACACCTTGTTATCTCAGATTCTCCAGCATCTGCAGTTCCTACTATCTCTGCAACCTGGTAAACCTCTTCTGTAACATTACAATTCTGTAATGTGGCGACCAGAATTGAACACAGAGTACTCTAAGTGTGGCCTAACCAAAGTCTTACAAAGCTGCAAGGTGACATCCTGACTCTTGTACTCAATTCCTGACAAATAAAGGCAAGCATGCCATTCGCCTTCTCCACCACCTTATCTACTTGCATGGTCACTTTCAGGGAACTATGGACTTGAACCCCAAGATCCCTCTTACATCAAGGCTCTTCAGGGTCCTGCCATTAACTCTATACTTTTTCCTAACATTAAAAAACATTTGGATAGGACATGGATGAGAAGAGTTTAGAGGGATATGGACCAAATGCGGGCAGTTGGAACTAGCTGAGTGGGCACAATGGTCAGCATGGACCAGTTTGGGCTGAAGGGCCTGTTTTCATGCTGTATTACTCTATGATTCTATTTGATCTCCCAAGGTACAGCACCTCACATATACACAGATTAAACTCCATCTGCCATTTCTCCACCCATATCCGGCTGTATCCTTTGATAATCTCTACACTATCCACAACTCCACCGATCTTTGTATCATCTGCAAACTTACCAACACACCCACCTACATTTTCATCCAAGTCATTAATATATATCACAAACAGCAAAGGTCCCAGTATGAATCCCTGTGGAACACCACTAGTCACGGACCTCCAGCCTGAAAAACAACCTTCCACCACTATCCTCTGCCTGCTATGGGGAAGCCAATTCTGAATCCATGCGGCCAAGTCACCATGGATCCCATGCATCTTAATCTTCTGGATGAGCCTACCATGAGGGACCTTGTTGAAAAATCCATGTAGAGAACACCGACTGCTCTACCCTCATTGATGACCTTCGTCACCTCCTTGAAAAATTAATAAGTTTGTAAGACACGACCTGACCTTCACAAAGTCACACTGACTGTCCCTAATTAGGCCATGCTTTTTCAAATGTGTGTAAATCCTATCCCCAATAATTCTCTCCAATAGCTTCCCAACCACCGATGTAAGACTCACCAGTATGTAGTTTCCTGGATTACCCTTGAATAGACGAACAACGTCAGCCACTCACCAGTCCTCCAGAACCTCTCCAGTAGCTGGTGAGGATACAAAGATCTTGGTCAAGGCCCCAGCAATCTCCTCTCTTGCCTCTTCCAATAATCTGGGGTAGATACCCTCGGGTCCTGGGGACCTATCCATCTTAATGCTCTTGAAGAGACCCAACACCACTTCGTTCTTGAACTCAAAATTCCCTGGCATGTTAGCATACTCCACACTGTAAGACTGTAAGGTTCCATTTCATGAATTCCCAAGTGATCAGAATCCCAGCAGAGGACGTAGAAAATGCTACAAAGATATTGTGCTTCAGGAAATGCTTCAGACAGTCATTTGACAACCGGGACGAGCTTGCCACGAATCGCTCAAAATGCTGGGAACTTATCCGTCTAGATGCATTATACCTTGAGTCCAAATGTTTTAATGACAAAGCGGAGCAGTAGCAGAGACTACAGGTAACTGAGCCCATTCCTCCACTCCGGATCCTACTTCCACATGGGACATCCAAGTGCTCAAAGATCTGATAATTGTTCTCAGGAAGTGTTCTGAGGAAGTGCCACCGGACCAAAACATTAACTCTGATATTTTTCTTCACAGATGCTGCCAGACCTGCTGAGCTTTTCCAGCAACTTCTGTTTTTGTTCCCGGTTAGACAAGCATCAGTTTACTGTTCAGAAGTGAATAAGAGTAGATTGTGGGAGCTAGGCTAACAGAGGTGAGTCCATGTATTTTGCTTCATTAATGATTTATCACATTCTTTTGCACTGCAGTCCCTTTTCTTACCATTTGTTGCTTGGTAGCAAGTCATCTTTGAATTTACTTGATGATAAATGGAGTTTATGCATTTATGAGAATGAATGCTGAGGTTGTACAATATTGTCACTTCTGGAATTGCTTTGTGTTAGCGGCATTGTGGATAGGACGTAGTGATCCTCTGTGCCGTTGATTGAGAGATCCTGGATATTCATCTGGCACATCCTCGGAGGGGCTGACCCTGAAACACAACTTTCGGGTGCAGCAAGCAGCAGGTCATGGTGTGTAACCTGTAAATGTCACCTCGCACAAGAGCCTGAGTGTACTCGGGGTGGGGGGGGGGGGGGGGGGGTGGTGGAAACAAGGCTATCTAAACGTGCTAATGAAACTCGATCTTTGCCTGTGCACTGTATCATCAGTATTGTCCTCTGTACTAGAGATAGTAGGAACTGCAGATGCTGGAGAATCCGAGACAACAAGGTGCAGGGCTGGATGAACACAGCAGACCAAGCAGCATCATAGGAGAAGAGAGGCTATGCTGCTTGGCCTGCTGTATTCATCCAGCCCTGCACCTTGTTGTCCTCTGTACTATCTACCTGAGTTTATACAAAGAGTAAGTTGATACTGCTGTTGGTGTTGGCACTGGTCATATTAGACTTCATCTCAGACACAATCAAAAGCAAACAGCCATCCATCCTACTGTAATTCAGAAAATTTCCAAAATGACGTAACTCAGTTCTCAACAACTACTCAAATTATCAACAACTGTCAGTAAACCATTGTCCAAGAGCAAGCAAGAAAGAAACTGAGTGGAGTGTACTGGCTGCATTATTTCTGTGCAATGAATTCAGCCTCCTCGCCTGCTGTGATGTTCTCTCCTTGCCATTAGGAATGTGAGTTTCAGGAGTTTCAGGAATTTCAGGAAATCTATACATTTGCTGTTAAATTTGAAAGTGAATTAAAGTATCACTCCAATTAATCATTGATGTATGTTCATTGGCAACCAGCTTCTCGCAGAGGATCTCTGTGTAAGCAACTTAATTCCCTGACATATTTATGGATGTTGGTTAGAGTTGGCTTGCCAGCATACTCACATTTTTGCTAGTTTTAACTTCCTACTCAAAACCATAGGAGCACTGGAGTAGGAGTAGGCTGTTCAGCCCCTTTGAGCTTGCTCCACTAGCCAGTATGATCATGGTTGATCATCTACCTCATTGTTGTATTCTCATGCTAGCCTCATATCCCTTCGTCATTGGTAACTAGAAATCTAACTTAATGACTGAGCTTTCATAGAACTCTGGGGTATAGAATTCCAAAGAAACACCACCCTCAGAGTAAAGACGTTCCATCACATCTCAGAACACAAGACAAGCCATTTAGTACTGAGACTATGTTCCCTGGTTCTAGACCCCACAGCCAGGGAAAAAGTCCCTTCTACATTTACTCCACCTTTTACTTACCTTTAAGAATTTTGAAAAATAAACAGCAACTTCTGGAGAAACTCAGCAGATCTGGCAGTTTTGAACAGTTCTGAAGAAGGGTCCTGACCTGAAATGTTGACTTGCCTACTTCTCTGATGTTGCCTGACCTGCCGTGTTCCTCCAGTTCCACACGGTGTTGTCTCTGACTCCAGCATCTGTAGTTCTTGCTATCTCCAAATAATACAGGTCCAGTCTCCTTAAATCACTCCTCATAGGACACTCCCACCATCCTCAGGATCAGTCTGGGGAACTTCCGCTGCACTCCCTTTATGGCAAGATATCCTTCCAAGGGACCAGAACTGCACACAATACTCAAGGTGCTGTCTCAACAGTGTTTAATACAATTGAAGCAGTGCTTCTTTGTTCCTATACTTAAATCATCTTGCAGCAAAGGTTAACAGACCAGTTTTTTTTTTCTGAATTGTTTGATAAACCTATGATGTTAGCTTTCAGTGATTTATTTCCAAGGATACCTATGTACCAATCACAGCAATACTTTTACAGTCTTTCACCATTTCGGAAATACTCTGCGCCTTAATTCTTCTGGCCAAAGTAGATAATCACATTTATCCACATTATATTCAATCTGTCCTGCTCTTGCCCACTTGCTCAGACTATTTAAATCCTCTTGGAGCCTCTTTACATCCTCCTCACAACTTTCCCACAATACCCCACTGCTCACAGCCTGCCAAAATGACCCACTTACTCTTACTCTCTGTCTTCTATCTGTTAGCTAATCTTGAATCCATGGCAGTATATTATCTCAATCTTATGGGTTTTAATTTTGTTTCCAATGTCCTCTGTGGGACTTAAAAGTTTTCCAGAAATCTAAACCATCCACTGCCTCGATCAGGTTTGTCAAGTATGACTTCCCTTCATCAATCCAAGTTGATTCTGTTCCAATGGACAATTATTTCCTAAATATCCAGTCATCATAGCTTTTGTAGTTTTTCTACTACTAATGTCAGGCTAACAAGTCAGTAGTTCTGTTTTTTTCTCTCCTTTCTTTTTAAACAGTAGGTTACATTGCAACCATTCAATCTGCAGGTGTCACAGAATTAACAGAATTATGAAAGATGATCACCAATGCATCTACCATCTCTCACTATCTCTTTCAGTCTTTCTAGGGTGAAGATCATTGAGTTCCAACTTTCAACTTTCAATCCCCTTAATATCTCCAACACATTTTTAAATTAATATTAATTCCTTTCAGTTCCATACTGACATTAAACTGCAGAAACTTAATTATTACAGGTAGATTTCTTGTACCTTTCTCTGTGAAGACGGATACAAAGTACTTACTAAGCTTCTCTGCCATTTCTCTATTTCCAATTATAAACTTGCCTGTTTCTATCAGCAATGGATCCATTTTGGTCTTTGCCAGTTTTCTTTTCTTTTAAAAATACTTATAGAAGCTTTTGAGATTAGTTTTTATATATCTTGCTATTTTACATTCATATTCAGCTCTTATAGGCTTTTATCTCACTTTCACATTCTGTCCTTAGAGGTTTATTTGCACATTCTCTCACTGATCGGATTTAATCTGGATATCAATAACCCAGAGGAGTTCTAACAATGGAATATACCCAATGTTCATTATTAAAACAAAGTACACTACAAAAATACTGCACAAAAAAAAATCTTATTCACTCAATTTAAAGTTTTTGAGAAGATTTGTAGTTCGGGTTATGGATGAGGTTGTAGACATGCTCGCCAAGCCGGTGGGTTTGGTTGCAAACATTTTGTCACCCAGCTAGGTAACATCGTCCGTGCGCCTCCAGTGAAGCGTCAGTGTTCTGTCCTGCTTGTTATTTATATGCCTCGGTTTTCTGGGGTGGTTGGTATTACTTCTGGTTTTGTTTGTCAGTGGTTTGTACATAGGGTCTAATTCAATGTGTTTGAGATGGAGTTCCAGTTGGAATACAAAGCCTCCAGGAATTCCCTAGCGTGTCTGTTTGGCTTATGCAATTATGGATGTGTTGTCCCAGTCAAATTCATGTCCCTCGTTGTCCGTGTGTACTGAGACAAGTGAGAATTGGTCGTGTCTCTTGGTGGCTAGTTGGTGTTCGTTTGTCCGTATTGTCAATTTTCTTCTGGTTTGGCCTATGTAGTATTTCTCACAGTCCTTGCATGGTATTTTGTATATTACCCTAGTTTTGCTGGTTTTGGGTATGGGATCCTTTCTCATGCAAGAACTGATTGGTGAAGATGGGGAAGATCCCCCACAATATTCCTAACAGTGTACCTGTTAGAGAGGGGAATAGTTCCTGACATCTTGTCATGGAGGCGATGGAAGATACGAATGAATTTCGCTGGACAGCCGATCTTTGACAGGGTCTTCCATAGCATTTCCCCATTTACTAAGTCAAAAGCCTTAGTCAGATCGATGAAAGCCATGTAGAGTGGTTGGTGTTATTTCTGTCATTTTTCTTGGAGTTGCTGAGCTGTGAAAATCATGTCCCTAGCACCATGGTTTGTTCGGAAGCTACTTTTTTTTTCTACAGTGTGTAAACAGGCCCTTCGGCCCAACAAGTCCACACCGACCCTTGAAGCATCCCACCCATACCCATCCCCCTGTAAACCCGCCTAATCTACACATCCCTGAACACTATGGGCAATTTAGCATGGCCAATCCACCTAGCCTGCACATCTTTTTGGATTGTGGGAGGAAACCGGAGCATCCGGAGGAAACCCATGCAGACACGGGGAGAATGTGCAAACTCCACACAGTCGCCCGAGGGTGGAATCAAACCTGGGTCCCTGGCATGGTGAGGCTGCAGTGCTAACCGCTGAGCCACTGTGCTGCCCCAAACACTGGCTTTCAGGAAGGATTTCCTCAGAGACTGGGAGAAGGTGCCTAGCGAGGATTTGGGTGATGATCTTCTCAGCGATGTAGAGTAGGGAGATTCATCACTAGTTCCCACAGTCCACTTTGTCTTCTTTCTTGAAGATGGTGGTGATGGCAGCATTTCCGAGATCGGCAAAGGTTCTTGGACTCTGATGACTTACAGTGTGGAAACAGGCCCTTTGGCCCAACAAGTCCACACCGACTCTCACAGCAACCCACCCAGACCCATCCCCCTATAACCCACCTAATCTACACATCCCTAAACACTACGGGCAATTTAGCATGGCCAATCCACCTAGCCTGCACATCGTTGGACAGTGGGAGGAAACCAGAGCACCCAGAGGAAACCCACGCAGATAAGGGGAGAATGTGCAAACTCTACACAGACAGTCGCCTGAGAGTGGAATTGACCTAGGTCCCTGGTACTGTGAGGCAACAGTGTTAACCACTGAGCCACCGTGCCGCCCTTTTTGTCTTCCCTCTTTCCTTCTTTGTCTCAAATTTTCAGGAACAGTTAATGGAGATGACAGATAAGCTTTGCTCTTCCAAGTTCAAAAATCTCCGTTGAAATCCCATTACATTTCCATTCTTCATGTGTCTAATGGTGGCATCAACTTCTGCTAAGATAATTTTTGATGGTGAGTTGAGGGATTTCCTCAAACATGTGCCCAACAATAATTGCCTCGTAGTTTAAAAATTCTTTGAAGTATTCTCTCCAATAAGAGGCTGATGCTTTCTCCCTCTCACAAAAGGGTTCCAACCTTACTCTGCACTGATTTGAGGCCAAGGCTGTTTGGGCATGTACACTGCCTTGGTGGCACTGTAGAAACCCCAAGTGTCATGCTTGTCAGCATGGAGTTGTAATTCCTTCTCTTTCTCCATCTACCATTGGTTCTTGATTTTCCCACTTCTTCTGTGTAACTCTGCCTTTCATGTTTGATGAAATTTCTTTGACTCGCTGTCTATCTTTTTTCCAGGCATGTTGAGTTTTCCTCTTCTTGTCAGTGAGGTCCTGGACAATGTGGTCATTGTCGTCGAATCAGTCTTGACATTTCCTGGTCAAGTAGTCAATGGTTTCTTCACAGCAAGAGATGATGGTTGTTTTCAATTCTTTCCGGATTTCCTCCACTCCATTAAAATTAACTCTTTGGAGATTTTGGCTAAGACATTGTCGTAAGTCCACTAGGCTGCTTGGTTCTTGAAGCTGCTCATCATTGGGGTTTTTTCTGAATTGCTTCTTCTTCTTTAGCTGCTTCGGGAGGCATTTGAAGGACATTGAGGAGCAGATGAACTGGTGGACTGCATAGCAGTCGTCTGCACCGATCATTGCTTTGTAATAAGAACATTCTTTTGGTCTCAGGATTGAATGATGATGTAGTTGATCATGTGTGCCTCCAAGAAGTCTTGAACTTGTCTTTTTGGTGGAAGTGTGTTGGTGATGACAAGTTGTTATTTTGCAGGAAAATCCCACTAAAGTTGCAACTCCTGACTCCTTCCTTTCCAATGACTTCTTTCCAGAGTTGGGAGTCTTTTCCAATCCTGAGGTTGAAGTCTCCAAGGAGGATAATTTTATCTTCCTTATGGATGTTGGTGAGTATGGTGGAGCTAAAGCCTTTTTGGATTCATCTGTGGCATCAAGGGTTGCAGCTTAGGCATTCACAACCTTTGCCTGTTGCTTCTTGGTAAGTTGTAGACAGAGTCATGAGCCGATTGTTGATGCCAACAAGGAGCTCTGAGAGTCGGTTGACCAGTTTGTTCTTTTATAAGTTTTCTTGTTTGATGATATCATACTACATCATACGATGTTTAACTTGCCTTGTTAGCCATGGCTCTCTCTCTTTTCCTGTTGGATAATTTTACCTCTTGGGGATGTATGCTGTTTTGAAAATCAAGCATAGATGGAGGCAACATACCATTCTGGAGTCTACAGAGAAACTCCGGTCTATTCCCATAAGTACTGAACTCCCTACCATGATTTCCCTTCCACTCTTTTTCTACCCGACTTGTGCAACTGAGCCACAAGTTGACTCTTGCTGCATTCCTCTGATAAGACAACACTTTCACCAGTATTCAAACTGAAGACTAGATAATGAGTAAGATAGACTCAAGAGATTCCTGCACTACCTTCCTGGTCTTCCTATTTGGCCTAGTGGTCACCCATTCCGTCTCAATCTTAATCCTCGGTGTACCACTTTATTAAACAAGCTCTTTGCACTCACATTTGTGGATAAACCACAGTGACTCCAACCTCTGCTTGGGTTCCAAAACGCAGAGCTCAAAGTTTTGAGGATAGACATACATGATTGTCTAGGCCATGTGAAGTATCCACAACCTCCCTCATGGCACAGGATGGACATTTATTAGCTTAAGTTTATTTTCAGACTATTTATTTTAAAACTGGAGACTACGGATGGCACAGTGGCTCAGTGGTTAGCACTGCTGCCTCACAATGCCAGGGACTTCGATTCGATTCCTCCGCCGGGCGACTGTCTATATGGAGTTTGCACATTCTCACCGTGGCTGCGTGAGTTTATTCCGGGTGCTCCAGTTTCCTCCCACAGTCCAAAGATGTGCAGGGTAGGTGGATTGGCTATGCTAAATTGCCCAAAGTGTTCAGTGATGTGGAGATTAGGTGGGTTACAGGGGGATGGGTCGGTGTGGACTTGTTGGGCCAAAGGGCCTGTTTCCACACTGTAGGGAATCTATGATCTATGATAAGGTAGAAAATAACATTACTCACCAACTGGCTCCAATAAATCCAGCTCTTTGCAAACAGATTGGATGTTCACCAACCAAGCTTTTGAAGATGGGGTCCGTTGGAGTTGATCATCACATTTCCAGTTTTTCTTTGCAGTGATGTGTCCAGAGGGACCCCAGAGTTTAAATAACAAGCGGGAAAACACAGCAATGCTTCATCGGAGGCTGCATGATGATGTTACCCAGCAGGGTAATGAAACGTCTGCAAACTAACAAACGAGCTCGGCGAGCGAACCAACCACAGAATCAGCTTAGGAGTTTGTTGTGACATCTCTGGCATTTTCTAAACTGGACATGCTGCATGTGACAGTGCCTTCCCAACTCATAGGAGGTGAAGGCCTTAAATACTGGTCCCAATTTATATCATCCTATTGCGCAGTGTTTTCAGAGAGGTCTGCAGCCTCCCTGTCTTGCAATTAAGTCCCCAAAAGCACATATCCCTTCAGGCTGAATTGCCCTGATTGTGTCTGGAGATTAGTTTTGAATTTTACAACCCTTTAAGCACAGGCTATAATCTTTGGTAACTGTTTTAAACAAGGTGATATAACCTGCCATGGCCCACATGACTCCATTTAGAATCTGAAAAGCAGATTCCTGATTTTCATTGTGTGTAAATCCTGCGTTCTGTATACAACTGGAAATATTCTATATGCATATGATCTAGCCCAAAACTATTCCAGTTTCATTGTTAAAATTTATTTGGTTTGCATCCCACAACTTTTCAAAGAGACCACTACCTTGTAAAAGATACTTTGGAAAGCTACCTGGGCCCATTTCTTGCTTGTTCACTTATTGGTTCTGTTTCACAGAATTACACAGTATAGAATAGGCCCTTTGGCCCATTGAGTTTGGACTGCCAAAATATACTGTTACTTAGATGACTCCCACTTTCTTGCACTAGGCCCATTGCCTTAAATGTTATGACATTTCAAGTGTTCATCCAAATGCTTTTTAAAGGTTGTGAGATATCCTGACTCAACTGACTCCAAGTCAGTGCATTCCAGACATCTTGGAGAACATCTTAAAATGAAAACAGAACTACAACCTCTAAATGGGAACAACACACAGTTTAACCAAAATGCTTCTATAAGCATTCAATAAACCGAACTTTCAAAATCTGTTATGAAATTAAATTTCACATACCTGTCGTGTCATAACCAGTGATCACTACTGCATGGTTTGACTTGCCTTGAGAGCAGTGATGCTGAATAATGCCACCAAGATAGTCCTGCCAACTTACTGCATCCACGACCACCACCAACGGACCCCATTCCAACAGTTTCTCCATCATAATATCTTCATTATATCTACACAGAGCAACATTTGTGCATATTAGTTTTTTTTAAGATATCTGAACACATCAAAAACTTAATGAAACAAAATTAATCATAGAGTAACATCAAAGTAGCACACTACTTTATTTGAGTAAAACTAAAATATATTCCACTAAATTTGATGAGCACCTTATAAATAACCTTTCCCTCAATTGAACATAATGATTCCATTTCTTAAAGATATTAACCTGCCCTGCAACAGAGAACTTATGGTTGTTACATGTATGATTGTTCTTCACTTAGCTGTAAATAACTGCATAGTATTTATTGCACAATAGATAATATACCCCAGTTGGTGCAGGAGTCAGCAACCCTGCCACTCGGAAAAATGCTCATTTATACCAACTCTTTGTTTCCTGTCTGCCAGCCCGTTCTCTAAACATGTCAGTACACTATTCCAATCCAAAGTGCCTTAATTTTACGTTAATCTCTTATGTGGGACCCTATCGAAACCTTCTGAAAGTCCAAATAAACCACATCCATTGGCTCCCCCTCATCAATTCTGCCAGTTACATTCAAAAAATTCCAGCAGTTTGTCAAGCATGATTTCCCTTTCATAAATCCATGCTGACTCTGTCATATCCTGTCCCATGCTTTCCAAATGCTCTGCTATTAAATCTTTTATAATGGACTTTAGCATTTTCTGCACTCCTGAAGTCAGGCTAACCAGTCTGTAATTCCCTGTTTCTCTTTATCAAATTTTTAAATTGGTGGGGTTACATTAGCAATCGCCTAATCCAAAGGAACTATTCCAGAATCTAGAGAATCTTGAAAGATGACCACCCATTATTTCTAGGGGCACTTCTTTAAGTTCTCTAGAAAGTAGATTATCATGGTCTGGGGATTTATCCAATTTTTAATCCTATTAATTTCTCCAACACCATCTCCTGATATTTCCTTCAGTTGCTCCCTCTCGCTAGAATCTGTGTTCCTCAATATTTTTGAGACTTTACTTGTGTCCTCGTTCTGAAGACAAAACCAAAGTATATATTTAATTGACCTGCCTTCTTTTTGTTCCCCAATGCAACTTCCTCTGTTTCTGGCCTACTCTATTGAATGTTGCCATTAAAAATATATTGTGTCTCCCTTTTACTTAAAAAAAAAGAAATCTAGAAGACAGTTATGTTTTCATTAGACACCAGACTGCGAGCTTCTGGTTGCCAAGATTTGGAAGGTCAAAGACAAGGAAATCAGTCCAGGACTGCAAGAGGGCACACATGTTGATTATTCCCTTCCATTTTGGAGAACAGAGATTTAACGAAGTGGGTAGAATTTGACTATAGTCAAATTTAAATATACATAGATATTTAAATAAAACATTTTTATGTCTGCCTTCACATCTTGTCTCACTAAGTGCTTCTCACTAAGCCTTGTAAAAAGTTGGAGACACGCTGGCCTGAAAGGCACAATATCCAGTCCTGATCACTGTGGCAGCCATGGTTTATAACATTGCACAATTGCATATTTACTAAAATGGGCACAGAGGAATGATTCCTAATGAAATATTTTACTCTTTGAGCGAGATTATACTTACAAAAATAAGGGTTTTAATATAAGCACACTACTTACAACTTTGCTGGCCAGAAATTATGCATCATATTTTCATGAATGTCAGGCTGCTAAAGAACTACAGCTAATGTTGCTTTAACGTTTGCAGAATTTACATCAATTTTTAAAAGCCATCTCGATAGGGTACCACACCAGATTTGGACTCAGGAGATTAGAACCATTACAAGTTGTGGGTGGAGTGAAGTGATGGGTAGGAAGTCCCACCCTCTGGAACAGCCAGCCAATCAGATTGATCTGTGGGTCCAACAGTCCCAGCAGCACTTGGGCTAAATTAGTGGAGGCTACCTGAACTTAAGAAAGCCCCATGAAGAAAACCAATTAAATCTGGAGTGAGGTAAGTTAGGGATATTAGATGCTGTTTAAGTGTTATTTTCTTGGCATTGCCCAAAATAGGCAAAGAATGTCCTCCAAAGAAATTACCTTCCTGATCTCCTATCATTGTTTTACGAGATTTTGGTTAGGCTGTACTGTAATGCATTTAATTCTGATTGCCACATTATAGGAAGGATGTAGAGGCTTTGGGGAGGGTGCAGAAGAGGTTTGCCAGGATGCTGCCTGGAGTAGAGGGTATGAGCTATAGGGAGAGGCTAGAAAAACTTGGGTTGTTTTCTCTGGTGCGGTAGATGCTGAGGGGAGACTTGTTAGAAGCCTATAAAATATGTGATGCATAGATAGGGTTGACAGTCAGAATCTTTCTCCTTGAGCTGAAATGTCTAATACTAGGGGATCCATTTAAGGTGAGAGGGGGGGAAAGTTTACATGGAGTGTGGTAGGTTTCTGGAATATGCTGCTAGGGTTGCTGTTGGAGGCAGATATGATAGAAGGGTTCAAGGGGCTTTTAGATAAGCACATGAATAAGCAAGGAACGGAGGATATAGACTAAGGGCAGGCAGAAAGGATTAGTTTAATTTGGTGACATGTTCAGCATAGCATTGTGGGCCAAAGGGCCTGTTCTTGTGTTGTACTGTTCTATTTTGAAAATTGTAAAAACTTAGCAAACACAATTTACTTTTAATCATTTTAACCATTTGTGGTGACTAGCTGCTGATTTCTGCATTCAACCATCCTCTGCATAAGGGAGTGACCTCAGGAGTGGGTGAGGTTAGTGCGTTACCCACTTAACACAATAACATTAGAAATAGAAGCCAGAGTAGGCAATTCAGCCCCTAAGCCTGCTCCATTATTTAATACGATCGTGGCTAATCTTAACTTTGGTCTCAGCCCCACTTTCCTACCCATAACCCTTCAACTCGTTACTAATTAAAAATTTGTCCATCTCCTCCTTAAGTTTCGTCAATGTCCCAGCACCCACCACATTCTGGGCTAATGAATTCTACAGATTCATGACCCTTTTGAGAGAAGTAATTTCTCTTCATCTCTATTTTAAATCTGCTACTCCTTATCCTAAAACTATGACCTCTTGTTCTACACTTCCCCACATGAGGAAACATTCTTTCTAAATCTACTTTGTCATTTGCCTTTAGCATCTTATACACCTCAATCAGATCTCTTATTTTTCTAAACCCGAGAGAGAGTATAGGCCTAAGCTGCTCAATCTCTCTGTTTGTAAGACAAGCCTTTCTTCTCTGGAATCAATATAGTGAATGTTCTTTGAACCGTCTCTGGTACAACTACATCTCCCTTCAAATAAAGGGACCAAAATTGTTTGCAGATAACAAGGTGTAGAGCTGGATGAACACAGCAGGCCGAGGAGCAGGAAGGCTGACGTTTCGGGCCTAGACTCTTCTCCAGCATCTGCAGTTCCTACTATCTCTGAAACAGAATTGTTTGCAATTGTCCAGGTGCTGTCTCACTACCGTCTTGTATAGTTGCAGCAGTGCCTCCCTACTTTTATACTCCATATTCATTTTGCAGTAAATAACAAAATTCCATTTGTCTTCCTTATTCCCTAATTTGCTTACATATTATTCTGCATGAGTATATGCAGATTCCTCTGCATCCCTTCAGAGGCACTCTGAAGCTCCTCCTCATTTGGATAAGTTGTCTTTCCGGTCCACAAACCAAAATGATAACCACATGAAATTTCATCTGCCAATTTTCTGTCCATTCACCTAACTTATTCATATCCATTTATAAATGTCTTATCTCTTCATTGCAGCTTACTTCCTCATCTGTTTTAGTATCATTCAATTCATTTAATATAGATTATAATTAGTCGGGCCCAAGGATCTAGTTTATGGCTCTATGCCGAAAATATACCCTGTGAGGACATGTAATACCCAACTCATCATCTTAACTTGAATTGAGGATCTGTTAATAGACAGAATACAGTTCTAATAACTAGTGCAGTGCCACAAGGATCAGGAGTTTAGCCTCCTGTCAGTGACTTAGATGGAAGAACCAACTGAAACCTATGCAAATCTACTGAAGCAAAGTTAGATATGAGGGAAAGATGGAAACTGGATGAAAAACAAATATAGATGTAATAAGTGATTGGGAAAGAAGATGGCAGATAGAGTATAATGTGATGAAATGTGAAATTATTCCCTTTGGGTGGAATATTGGAAAAACAAAAACACTTCCAAAAGAACAGAATAGTAAATCTTTGAATACAAAGAGATTTGAGTATCCTTGTATATCACAATATGTTATGCAGGAACATCAAGTAGGAAGGCAAATTACATGACAGCCTTTATGAAAAGGGTTGGAAGAATAACAACAGTAAGGAAACCTTGCTGCAATGTATCCAACTTCCACAAGATCACACCTGAGTTACTGTGGATAGTTTTCCCTTCTTATCTAAGAAAAGATATGCCTGCCTTACAGGGAATACAAACCAAAATTGATTGCTGGGATGATAGGGCTGCTCTTTAAGGAGTTGGAGTAGATTTGCTGTATGATCCCAGGAGTTTCGAAAAATGAGAGGTGATCCCTTTGAAGCATGTAACACTTCTGAAGGGTATGGCAGGATAGATGCTGAGAGGCTGTAACCTTTGGATGAAGAGTTCAGGACTGGAGGTCATTCAGGGATCATCCATTCAGGACTGAGATTAGAAGAAGCTTCTTAAATGTAAAGAAACCGTAATTCTCTCACCTAGAAGTTTTGTAGATGCCTCATCATTGAGTTTATTCAAGACAAAGATTGATAGATCTTTGGACATAAATGTGAAGAGATATAGGATAGGATGGGAAAGTGAAATTGAACTGAAAGATCAGGCATAATTTTATTGAATGGTAGAGCAGGCATAAGAGGTAGAATGAGCTACTCCTGTTCCTATTTCTTATGTTCTAATTTACAGCAGTGCAGAACCTCTATTGTTCCACATTATCAACTTGACAGCCAACAACTTAGCTCTCAAAAATAATGTCCCAGTCAATTCAATTTGGCATCAAAGATGATGTAATAGACTGAAGGAATCTCAAATACCTGAAGCTATATGCTTTAAAACCTGTGATAGCAATGCCAAATGTAGACCTTGAAAAGTAATGGCATATTCCAGTTTGTGCATTGAAAGGATACTCTGACTCTTTCACCAGTTTTGCTTTGCTCTGTATATAAACAAAACATAAATAAATAGACAATGTACATGATTGTCAGTGACAAAATACACAATTCTTTGCAAGAGATGTTTGTTATATTTTGTCTGTATTTACCCAATTTATGTCAGCCATAATCTGCTGTATCTGAAAAAATACCTTTCCTCTTATTAATTAATTTACTCTCATAATCATTTCTCCCATTGATAAGAAACAAGAACAATATAATTTGATGTTGAAAAGGCATGCACTCAATTACTTTTCAGGGAGACATGCTGTCAATTGTTAAATTCTGTGTTGGCCATCATCCTGCATTTAGAGTGAATGATATTATATGGCAAGAAAAGATACTGGCATTTTGGGGCATGTTAGATTCATCAGTGCTGGCCCAGTTCTGCGTTCAGAAGAATAATGTAACTGGTTCTAGGAATCCTATTCATTGACATTTCTTGTCGCCACCTTGCTATCATGGCCAGACAGCATGAAGAGGAATGTCAAAGAAAACTTCACGGTGTTCTATATTTTGGAATTAAATTCTGCTTCTTTAAAAGGTAGTAAACCTTGTTGAACATACAAAATGGCTAAAGCTGATCACATTATCATATTTCCAGGATCATCTGACTCTCTTTCCCATTTCGCCCACCCCCCCAAAAAAATACTGAGTAGATATTCTAAATAAAGATGACAGACAAAACTGGTAGATATTTACTTCTAACTAGCTCCTGATACAGGAAAATGTTAAGTCCCACTATTGTTAAAAATGATTGCCAATGCTTTCAGTTACCTCATTACCTCTGAGGACGTAAAGCTACAAAGTTAGCATAACAACTTTCCAAAGCTGACTGAGAGGGGGCCCTCAGTACCTGAAATGCCTATCTTCATTCCATGACTGAAATCGGAGCTTGTTTGTTGTTTAAATAAACTATTCTGGGATTAGCTGCTGTTTGCATTCTCCCACCTGAACAGGGAGAACACGATGCCGAGCCGAGCTGGCAACTAGCTTTGGACCCTCCTCCCTTCCCTCACCCAAAAAAATCCCCAATCATGTCTGCATATTGTTGGCTGGAAGGAAGCTTGTGCTTTGCATTCAAGAAGGAAAACAGCTGGGTCCAGCTCAATGAGGAAATTACAACAGGACATTGACCTTGGGCAAGTTGTAACTCGTGAATTGATTTTTAAAAATATCTCTGGATTTGCCAAAATCTGTAAATTATAGCCTAACAAGCTTCTGCTTAGTGTTCATTAGTTTTCAGAGTGATTGTTTTTGTATATGGAGTACCACAGTAATTCCCTCATGTTTTGAATATTAATAATTCTCATTCTTTTATTTAATCTTAACTGATTTAGCTATGGGTTTATTTCAAAAATTGTAATGCAAACTGGGATTTGAGGATCAGGAAGGAACAGGAGGAAAAAGGGAAAGTAGTGAATCAAACAATACTTTGCTGTCACAGTCTTAACATGGGAAATAATCCTATAAAATTCACCCCATTCTCACTTTGTCCATGACATCACCAGCAGTGCTGTTCCTCTACGTGAAATGAATTTAATAGTACATGAATAGCCTTGCCCGAAGCAGTAAATTTCCTAAAGGAGATTATCACTTCTTGAAATATTGGTTGGTAGGTTGTTGGGCTAGAAAATAGCACATTTTTGAGCACATTCCAGAAGCCAAAAGTTTAATCCTCATTTAAACTCTATTGAATACTTCGTGAATAAAGCCCTTTATAAACAAATGCATTTCCTTGTCCTACTATTTTAGTTAATTACTGAAAAAATGCAAGTAGGTTCGTTGGACATGATCTTCCCTTTATAAATCCATGTTGCCTGTCCTAATCAACTAAAGCTTTTCCAAAGTTCAATTACTGTGTTTAATTACAGTTCCAATAACTCCACCGCAATAAATTTGACAAATAGGTCTATCATTTTCTTGTTTTCCCCCCTCCCGCTCTTTCATCATCTTAAATAGGGCAGTTACATTTACAATGTCCAATCTAAATGGACGATTTTCCCAGAGATTAATGAATCTTTGGAATGCACTGTTGCGTGGTGAGCACACTTGAGTGTGCTGCCTTGAGTATGGGTGGGCACGGTGAACTACTTGTTTTCCTTATTTGCCAATTTAATATTCCATAAAAGGTACTCCTATGAATTCACTGGCAAGTAAACACTGGTCATTTGTCAAAAAGCCATACCAACCTGATTTAGCCACATCAGGGCACTGATGGGCGAGCCACCTTTGCAACCTGCATCCCTGAAAGAACAATCTATAACCTCTTGTGCACTGAGCAACTCCAGGTGTCCCTCTTCGATTGCACATGAAGATTCAATACTCTCCACAACACTGAATGCCCAGCATCCACCGCACTACAAAAGAAATACAAAAATCAGTCTGATTGTTGCATAACCCAAATTAATTCCAAGGGAATTAGCTGATTACTGCATTTCCTAGCTAATGAAATATTATTTTAGAAACCGTCACATACATAAAATATATATCAGAGATAGTAGGAACTGCAGATGCTGGAGAATCCGAGACAACAAGGTGCAAGGCTGGATGAACACAGCAGGCCAAGCAGCATCATAGGAGCAGAGAGGCTGACGTTTCGGGCCTACTTTCATTAATAAGGTTGATTTTGACAACCATAACAGTGGTTTCTTGATTTTCTTTATAAGGTTTCTTTATTTTCTAGCACTGTATCTGCTGACACCTACTGGATCTTTATATAAACTGCTCTGCTGACAAATGCTGAATGCTCAAGTTAAATAATCTGCTTTGATTCTTTGGGACTTTTTGCCAGTTATTTTCTTTGTCCATACATATCGACCAATGCTCCCACCCACCTTCATGGTTCCAATATGTGAAATAATCACGTGTGTCAAGTAAATTAGACATTCCAATTTATTGATGCTGACTCTGTTGTCTAGCTTTCAGTATCTTTTAGACAGTGTTAAAATGGTAATCTCAATGTAGACAGTTTTATTTATTCCACATGGGTCTCATGAGTGTGCTTCGATCTAAGGTCAGGTGACCACTAGCCATTTCAGGTTCATATTTCTTTCTTTAAAATCCCGTTTTTAGACCATGATAACAATCATGTTTTAACAGTCAGATAATGGACATTAAAATTCGATCGTCCATATTTATCATTATCATAACAGTTTAAATTGGTGAGTGTTGAGTGTTTCATGTTTTAAAATGATGTGTGTCAGGATAACCAGAGGATGCTGGAGATTTGGCAGCATCTGTGGAGTGAGAAACAGCTAATGTTTCAAATCTGACATGACTCTCCTTCAGGTCTGAAAAGGGCCAGGAAAATGCGCTTTTTTACATTGTTGACAGAGGGGGAGGAAGAACAATTGGAACAACTGTAAGGTTATCCAGTAGATGTTGGTGTGTTCAACGATCTGTAAAGGTATCCAGAGCAAAAGACAAATGGAGAGTAAGGAAAGTTTTGGATGTAACACCTATGTAAATAATAGGTGTGAAAGGAGAAATTGGGTGTGCTGTGCTGAGACCATAGCCAATGAGATAAGCAGTGGTGGTAATGGGTGGGGGAACGGGGGACATGGTTATGTAGGTTGGATCATTTACTCTGATTCTGGTCCATTTCTGATTCTTCCCTCCCTGATTTCAGTATTTACATTTCTGCAGGGGTAGGCTGTCCATCAATACCCACTACCAACCAACTGACTCACATATTTACCCTGACTATGCTTCTGCATACCTGACATCCTACAAAGACTCCATTCTGTTTTCTCAGTTTCTCCATCTCCATGCGATGATGCTACTTTCCACTGGGCTGGCTCCAACACGTTCCTTTTTCGTCATCCGAGAATTCTCCCCCACTGTGGTCAACAGGACCCTCAGCCTGTCTAATGCATTTCCTGAACTTCTGCCCTACTCCCAGAACAACAATAGGGTTCCCCTTGTCCTGAGATTCTCACCCAGTAAGCTGCACACAGTCAAGAAGGAGAGATCACATCTGGAGTGAGACACAGTCGAACGAGTGTATGGTTCAGGGGAATTGGAGGCAGCATGGGAGTAGAACAGGTAAATCTTTCTTTACTTTCTCCATTTTAAAACTCTAAAATCCAGTAGCTATTGAAAAGGAGCTGGCTCAGCTGACTGTTGAATACTTATCAGGCATTCCCCTGAAGCCTGAATAGGGGCTCAACAGATTTTGATTACTATTGAATCTTAACTGGTGTGAATCAGCTCAGCTCTATTTGAGAGGGCCTGTTAAAGCACAAGATCAGTAAACAATGCGCAGTCAGGAAGGAAAGATCACATCTGAAGTGAGACACAGCTTGTGTGAGTGTACAGCTCAGGGAATTTGATGCAAAAGAGAAAAGATGCTTTTTATTTGCTTTTTTTGGCTCATAATTTATCAGGATTTTTAACAGGATAAATTGAAGCCTAGGATCAGTGGACCAGCACAAAACAGCGACATCCCAGGAAAACTGTAAGTTCATTGGTTGGTGATAGCTACTAATTTGACAATGTATTCAGGATTACTTTCAGATTAAAGGTAAATAAGGGAAGTTTACAGGTTACAAATTAAAAGACTGTAACAAAATTTAAAAATCAAATTAGGAACTAAGTAAAAGTTGAGATGCAGGGCCAAGTGATGTATTGTACCTATGTGATGTGGGAGCTGTTGGGCCCCATTGGTGTTCTTGTGACCAGATATATAGCAAATGTTGGTTACTTGAGGAAACTCTGACTCAGAGTTGATGAGCTGGAGTCTGATCTTCAAACACTGACACATCAGGGAGGGGGAATGTTACCTGGACAATGTGTTTAAGGAGGCAGTCATACCCCTTTAGATTAACTATCTCGAATTCGGTCAGGGACAGGAGGGTGTGACTTCAAGCAAGGCAAGTAGAGGATTCCAGGATGTTGTGCTGAAGAAGCCACAGTACTTAAGCTTGGCTAACTGCTTTGGAATTCTTGCTCCATGTGTTGATGAGAGCAGGGGCTGTTGGGAGAATAAGCAAGTTGACCACAGTACCATGGTAGTGGGAAGAAAAGAGAAATGTAGTTGTAATCGGGGATTGTATTATGAGGTGAATAGATGCGCTTCTCTGAGGCCAGGATTGAGACTCTCAAAAGCTATGTTGTCTGCCTGGTGCCTGGGTTCAGGAAATGTCATCTGGGCTGCAGAAGAACATGGGAGTGAAAGGGAAAGATCCAGTTGTTATGATCCATCTAGGTACCAAGGATGTAGGCAGGAAGAGGAAAGGAGTTCTGCTGAGGGAATATGTGCAGCTAGGGGCTAAATTGAAAAGCAGAACCTGCTAATCTCTGGATTTCACTCCCTGAACCACAAAGCTAATTGCAACAGGGTCAACATGCATGAACAAGTAAACATGCAACTCAAAGACTGTTGTAGAGAAAAGCTTTGAATTGATGGGACATTGCCATCAATACTGGGGCAGGAGGGAGCTGTTCCAATGGGCCAGACTCCAGCGGAATCATGCTCGGACCAGAGACCTGGTGAATTGCATAACTAAAGATAGTGTGGATAGGGCTTTAAATGAAATAGTGGGTGGGTTCAGGTACATGGAAAATTATAGAAGTTAAAGTTGGGGAGGGATCAGCAGAGGTTATTGAAGTTTCCAGAACAATTAATAGGACAAAGCATGGAAAGGCTCAGGAATCTAACTTCACAGCAGAGAAGGGGGCAACTATGAGAGGGGGCCAGTCAATGCAAGACTGAGGATGTTGTACATAACTGCATGCAGTATACAAAACCTGGTAAATGAGCTTGTGGAACAGTATGAAATTGCTGGGAATGATGTTGTGGGTATCACAGAGATATGGCTACAAGGGGATCAGAGCTGGGAAATTAAATATCCAAGGGAATGTACCCTATTGAAAGGATGGTGATGGGCAGAGGGGCTGGGGTTGTCTTGTAAGAAATAAAATTGAATCCGAAACCAGCAATGTTATAGATTTGGAAAGCATAGAAATCTATATGGGTCAAGTTGAAGAACCGCATAGGAAAAAAGGCTCTGATGGAAGTTATGTACAGGCTTCCTACCAGTAGTCAGGCTGTGAGGAGATAAATAAATTAGGAGATAGAAAAGGCATTTAAGAAAGGCACAATTACAATAATTGTGGAGGACTTCAATAAGCAGATGGGCTGGGAAAATCAGGTTGGTAGCAGATCCCAGGAAAAGGAATTTGCAGAATGTCGACAAAATTTTTTTTGGAAAGCTTATGATAGAGCCCACGAGGGAACAGGCAGTTCTCTATTTGGTGATATGTAATGAGACAGACTTGATTAGGGAGCTTAAGGTGAAGGAACCCTATGGGCAGAGACCGTAATACGATGGAATTCATCCTGCATTTTGACAGGGAGACACTGAGCTCAGATATAATGGTATTACAATTGAGTGAGGGTAACTACAAAGACACGAGGGAGGAGCTGGCCAGAATTGATTGGAAGAGGAGCCTAGCAGAGAAAACAGTAGAGCAGCAATGGCAGGAGTTTCTGGGGATAACTCGGGAGGCACAGCAAAAATTCATTCCAAGGCAGAAGAAGTATACTAAGGGTGGGCAAGGCAACCATGGCTGACAAGGGAAGTCAAGGAAAGCATAAAAATATTCAATGTGGTGAAGATATGGGAAGCCTGAGGATTGGGAAGCCTTTAAAAGCCAGCAGAGGATAAATTTAAGAAAAGCAATAAGGGGTGGGGAGAAAATGAAATAGGAGGGTGAGCTAGCTAGAAATATAAAATAAGATTGCCTGAATATTTTTAGACATATGAAAGGTAAGAGAGAGACAACAGTGGAAACTGGAAAATGAGGCTGGAGAAGTAGAAGTGGAGGAACTGAATAGGTCCTTTGCATCAGCCTTTGCGGTGGTAAACACTAGTAGCGGTGGCACAGTGGCTCAGTGGTTAGCACTGTTGCCTCAGTGCCAGGGACCTGGGTTCACTTCCAGACTGGGGCAACTGTCTGTGTGATGTTTGCACATTCTCCCCGTATCTGCATGGGTTTCCTTCCACAGTCCAAAGATGCGCAGGTTAGGTGGATTGGCCATGCTAAATTGCTCTGTAGTGTCCAGGGATGTGCAGGCTATGTGGATGAGCTGTGGGAAGTGCAGGGTTACAGGAACATGGTAGGGAGGTGGGTCTGGGTGGGATGCTCTTTAGAGGGTTGGTGTGGACTTGATGGGCCAAATGGTCTGCTTTCATACTGTAGGGATTCTATGACTTCAAGAGAGTCAGGGGCAGAGGTGAGGCTAGTGGGCGTCACTAAGGAGAAGGTGCTGGGAAGGTGAAAAGTCTGAAAGTGGATAAATCGCAGACCAGATGGTCTACACCCCACAGTTCTGAAGGAGACAGCTGACAAGATT